CCAGCCAGCTGCTGTTGGCACCCAAGGTGGGGAGCTCCTTGTTACTGATGGGTGGGGATGTGAGTGGATGCCCCACGTGGTCTCCACTGATACCACAATGGGGTGGCCTCATTGCAGGCTGACTTACTTGCACTCGCTACTCCGTCTTTCCTCAAAGCACCCCAGAGGGGGGATGGAGGGATACCTTGTTACTGCCAGCAAGGGGTGAAAGTCCAGGCTCCCCAGTGACACCAGAGGAGCAAGGGGGCTTGTTACAGAGTAGTGTGGGTGAAATGTCCTGGCTGTCGACTTTGCTCTGAGACTACTATGGAGAGAGTGTTGGGTCACCTCCTGCCAAGCGTGGAAGGCTAGGTGCTCCACTTGGCCTCTGAGGTGTCAGTTGGGATAGAACTGCAGGTTCTTTCCTGTGGTGTTTGGCTTAGGTTGGGCTGTTTATTATTGTGAAGAGTTTTCTGTCTAGTCAACTCCCCCTTTCCTTCTTTGCTACAGAGAGCATGGTTTTCTGGAGGCTTTTTTTTGGGGGGGGAGGAGGGTTTGTCAGTGTCACCAGCTTCTCACCTCCAAGTCCCAAATACATGAGGCAAAATGAAAACCTTGAGAATTCGCCACTGTGTTGTGCTTTGGGATCTTAGGTCCCTAGCTTGTCTGCTTTCTGCTCTTCACATTTCAGAATTATCTTATGTTCATTTTATATATAATGTCCAGGGGTTTTAATTATACTCACTGAAAGAAATAGGGAAAAGTATATCTACTCCAATATGCCAGAAGTGGAAGTTCCAGAATGCTTCTTTTCAAAAACATCTGATTTATGGATTCATGTTTACTTAAAGATGGAATAAATGTGAATATGGAAATTTTGAAGATTTGCATATTCTAACTTCAACCAATCAGTGTCTGTAACAACTTTAAATACTTTCAGTAAAATACAACGTTTTGTTTTAAATTGTAAATGATCACTTGCCCAGGAAAAATTACTAGCATCTTGTTTTTACTAAATGTGCCATTTTGTTTTGGATCCAATTATTGCTTTTGGAGTAATAGACATTGAACATGAAAACTTCTCTTCTGTTTTAAGTACGCTATGTTTTCACAGTTTCTCTATGGTGAAGAACACTTGTATCGGTAACTAAGGAGGAAGAGAAAGCATTATAAAAGATGTTAAACATTTCCTTATCCTCAGTTGGAATGTCTAAAGGGCAATTTAAAATATCATGAATTAGCACATTCAAATCAAATTTACTCCTGGTAAAATTGGCCACATGTGTAGAGCAAAACATCTGTAGAAGCTATAGTTTGTATGATGCTTATGTTCCTGAAAAGATTATCCCAATAAAAAGGCTAAATCTACACAAAAGAAACAAAAAATGTATTTGCTCAAGTAAAAATGTATAAGGGGTAATTTGCAATGTTCATGTTTGATAACTGAAGTCAAATTTCTCTGAATCAAATTTGTAGTCCTGAATGTTGGTCACAGCTTACCCAGTGTTTTCTAGGATTGAAGTAAAAGAAAATAATGATTGAATTGGAAAAAACCAAACAACCCAGCCAGAAAATAAAGCAAACCAAAATGTGAATGGTGTCTGGCTGTTTCTGGGGAATGAATGGGAAGAAGTTAATTTTCCTACCAGGCTCACTTAGATGACTCATTGGCTTCCATTTCATTCTCCCTTTTGGATAAGTGAGATTTTTATGGCTCATTTTTAGTGTAGCTACTTTTAACTCAAGATCTCCATTGTGTTTGCTTGATAACTAAATTATGGTGTGTATTCTAATCCAAAAAATTAATTTTTGTTTATTCTCTCATTTCATAAAATATCATTAAAATAAATGTGAGAATTGAATTATGAATATTATCCAGAAATCTCCGAAACTATATACCAGACTATCCACTGAGCAACTCTTTGTATTGTAAATATGTTAGGAAATAATAAACTTATAGTTTTCAGAAATAAGACTTTGTTTTGATGCTGACACTAATTCTTATGATATTTTTCTGTAGCCTCCATTTCAAGTTAACCTTCCAATCTATCATTGTACATGTTATTTAAAATCATAATTATCAGTAATATCTAAGTATTTTTATGCCTAATAATGCAAACATCTTTCTATTTCTAATGTTCAGTCCATGATGTCATATTGCAAAACATAAAACAGTTTGTTTTCCTTATTTCCTCAAGGACTGATTCTAGAGAACAGGTATTTACAACCAAAAATTAAGGATTTGGTGTTTGCAAACGATTGTATTATTGGGAATTTGTCACTTATGTAAATTGATAGGTTTTTCATCTCATTTGACTTCAGATGAATGGATAAAGGAGATGTGGTATATATATCTATATCTATATCTATATCTCTCTCTATATATACACAACAGAACACTACTTGGAGATCAAAAAGAATGAAATCTTGCCATTGGCAATGATGTGAATGGAATTAGAGTATTATGCTAAGCGAACTAAGTCAGACAAAGACAAACATCATATGATTTTACTTATATGTGGAATTTGAGAAACAAAACAGATGAACATGGGGAAGGGAAGGAAAAATAAGATAAAAACAGAGAGGGAGGCAAACCATACAAGACTCTTAAAGACAGAGAACAAACTGAGAGTTGCTGGATGGGAGGTAGGTGGGGAGATGGGCTAAATGGGCGACGGGCATTAAGGAGGCCACTTGTTGGGATGAGCACTGGGTGTCATATGTGAGTGATGAATCACTTCCGGGTTCTACTCAGGAAGCCAATACTACACTGCATGTTAATTAAATTTAATTAATTAAACACTGCATGTTAACTTGAATTTAAATAAATAAATAAATAAAAAGAATCTCTAAGGCGCTACAAGAAAACAGAAATGCAAAGTTCTGGACCCTATTATTGTTAATAAATCTACAAACCCCACAATACTCAGTATTTTCTTTCTGGAAAATAGATGACCACCTGCAGAAAATTGTGGTAAAGATATATTTATCAATTTTTTGATGCCTCCCTTTAAAAGGTACAGATTAATTCCTCTCCCCCTGAATGAGACTTGGTGGCTTGCTCATGGAATATGATGGGAATGACCATGAGTGTCATCTGAGAGTAGATCATAAAAGGCACGGTGGCTTTCTCCTTGCTCTCTCTCTGGATTCACTCATCTGTTGGGAGTCAATTGTCATGTTGTAAAGACATTTAAGCACCCATAGAGAATTGTAGGGTGAAAAACTAATGCTTCCTCTCGTCAGCCATTGTGGAATGTAAGCCCTCAGCTTATAGCTGTGTGAGTAGACCACCTTGGAAGTGGATCCTCTAGTCCCAATCAAGTCTAGGTGACCACATCTGTAGCTGAAGTCTTGGCTGAAACGTCATAAGAGACTGAGTCCAGAACCACCTAGCTAAGCTTTGCCCAAGCTGTGAGATAGTTAATGTTTGTTGTAAGCCACAGAGTTTTGGGTCAATTTGTTATATGGCTAGAGATGACAAACACAGATTTTTTTGTTCCTATATTCTGTTCTTTTGGAATCATTCTTGGTACCAAATGAATTGGATCATGTTAGATGGAGCATGACTTTGTTGTTGAGTTTTCTGGAAATCAGTTGTTGTTTAAAGAGGATGTGTGTGGCTGCCAAGCTGACAGATTTTCATGGCTTTTTAATGTGCAGCTTAGCTGTATTAAACTGCATTTCCCAGAATCCCCATTCCCTTTATGTTTCTGGTTAGGGTGACACACAAGACATATTTTCATGAGTGCTGGAGAGCAAAAGTGAGGCAGCAGCCATTTTGTTTTTTACACTCAGATGGTCAAGGCTGGTACTTTTGTGTCTCACATACATTGTTGCTTCTCTATTGGCTCATCTCATTGCGGAGGGATAGCAGCCAATCCTGCAGCAGCTTCATCTTTTCCTGGGTCCTTCTTTGACCTCTCTGATTCCTGGGCTAAGTGTGTTTAGGTCCATGATAAAGAATGCCGGCTTCTGTGGGACACCTGTAACATGAAGGCTGGAGGCCCTGAGAATTCACATGCATTCCAGTGTGTCTGCATGGTTTCTAGCTCATGCTCATGGTTCCAGGATGTTCCCACTCTCCATCTCTTTACACTCATCTTCTCTTTTTGTTTGCCTGGCCTGGCCTGCAGATTTCTAGCTCCAGCATCAGACCAAAAAACAAAAAACAAAACAACAACAACAACAACAACAACAACAAAAACCAAACCAAACCAAACAAAAAAATCCCCCCCACCATAAAACAAACAAAACAAAAAAGCCTTCTGGAGACGGGTTAGCCACCTCCCACAGCTGTTTAGTCAAATCCTTGTAGCAAGTACTTATTCTATCTCTATTTCTCTGTCATCTATCCTAATCTCTTATAGTTCTGCTTCTCTTATTGAAGCTTGACTAATAGAATGATCTTCACCATTATCTTGTATCTTCAAGTATGGTGGTTCTCAAACCCATTAAAGTTAGTGCAAGAACAACAAAGGTTACTGGTAAATATGAGGATTACCAGTCCATCACCTCCAGAACATGTAGGTGTTCAGTTCTCAGTTCTCACTAAGTCTGATATGCAGCATAAAGATCTACAGTTTATATACATATCAGATTCAGGTGGCAAGCATGGGTGGTCTGAACAATTATGAATATTTGATCATATTTAAAATACATTTCATTGAAACAAGGTTTTCCAATAGTAGAGTTTCCTCTCTATTAAATAAATAAATATTTATGTTTAAATAAATATTTGTGGTGTTAAATAAAGCCATATCTAGGTGACCTCATCCAATAAGAATTCTTTATTCACTTGTATGTTAGAAGCATGTTTCAAGGTGGGAATGGGTATCAATGTATCTGGTGAAAGATATCTCATGCAAAGTTTGACTCAGATAAAAGACTGTTTCAGATAGCTGGATATCAAAACTTTAATTGTCAATTGTATTAGAAGGTAAATGATGAAAGGTTATATCATGGCTTAAAAATAATGTAATGGGAATGTTTTTCTGTTTGTATTTTGTTCATTTCTACAGCTGGATTCTGGTGGCACCATTACCATGGAGGAGCAGATCGTCCTTGTACTGAAAGCTAAAGTACAATGTGAGCTCAACATCACAGCTCAGCCCCAGGGAGGAGGTAAAGGTGCTGAAAAAATTGTGTCTCGCTGTGTCCTTACCCCAGTCCTCACAGAGACTTCAAATTGCCCTCCTAAGTTAGTGGTAGGGAGTTCCTCATCAGTCATTGTGTGTTTCTATGCGGAAGGTCATGGTAGCAGAATCATGCTCTTTTTGTCTCCTTCACTACAAGCTCTTCCCTCCCAATAGACAGAATGACTTGCCTGATTTCTGAATTTCAGAATAGCCTCTGAGCACGTGCACATCACTTCCTTTCTCAGGCCTCTCTTTGGGATCTGTTTGCCTGCAGAGAGCATGCATGCTGGTTTGCCCTTCACCAGGTAGTAAGCTTGGAGGGACAGGCTCTGCTGGTGGGTATTGCTTGCAGTTTTAGGTAGTATGTATAAATATCAGAAGAACAAAGAAGCAGGCCCTTTTGTGTGTACCCAGGCCCTGTTCTCAAAAGATTTTTTTCTTCTTAGTGAAGTGATTATTTAATTTCCATCGGCCTGACTCTTTATGCAATTTCTCCATTAGTTCCAAACTCAAGTGGGATGCTAAAAAAAACCAGAACTACAACACTACAGATGAGCTTGTGGTGGCATTGATGTTCTTGGATTGCTCTACTGTCACAGCTGTATGGGACCTGTGGCTTGTGGTGGTCCTTGTGGCCTGATGGTCACTCATAGTTTTCACTGGGGCCATTGAAAAAGCTATTTATTGGAATCTTTGGAGGAGTGGGAAAATTACAATGTTTTGTATGGGAAAATGCCTTGCCTTAATAGCTGAATATGTTTAAGGATTTTTTTTAAAAAAAAGGGAGGTGCTATTTACTGAATTTTCCTAAATTCCCAACATTCTGAATGCAGCAGATAATGTCTTTAAAGCTATGCCCTATTGTGAAATGTCTGGTTTGATCTACTTCATTCTAGTCTCCAAATATTTAAGAAAGTTTAAAGTTTATCAATAGCTTCTCCTGCTTGAATAATATATGCAGTTTGAAATACTTTAATTGCTTCCAAATTGTATGCTACTGTCATATAATTTTATGTTAGTAAAATCATATGGCTTTATTTTAATTGTATATTATAACTTTTGTTCAAGCCAAAATATGTCTTACAAGATTTTTTTATGTTAGAACTTGCTTGCAGCAAATGCTCTCAGTGTTTGTCTGAAAAGGTGTTTATTTTTGTCTCAGTCTTCAAAGCTACAGTTTTTCTGGACATATGACCCTTGGTTGAGAATTGTTTACTTTTAGCACCTGAATACTACTTCATTTTCCCCCTAGCTTCCACCGTTAATGGTGACAAATCAGTTTTCGGTCTTTGCTGATGGTTTGCTTTTTCTCTCTGGCTCCTTTTAAGAGCTTCAATTTGACTCTGATGTTCTACCATTTTATTCTGTATCTACGTATGGATTCATTTGATTTCTGGGGGCTAAAGATCTGTGTCTTTACTCAGTGGTGGGAATGTTTTGCTATTTTGTCTTTGAAACTTTGCTCTCCCCCATTCTTCTATTCTGTCCATCTGGAACTTTAATGAGACAAATGTAGGACCTTCTTATGCTACTCTTTGTGTCTTCATGTCTTATATATTTTCTTTTTGTTTGTTTGTTTCTCTACTGTTATTTTGGTAACTTCTTCAAATATATTTTCCAGTATGCTAACTCTTTGTTCACCTTTGTCTAATGGCTGTTTAGTCCATTTACTAGGTTAATTTTGATTATCCATTTTTCACATTGTAGAATCTTCATATTTAATTTTGATAGTGTTTTTTATCTTCAATAACTTTTCAACTTCTTTTTTTCTTAAACATATTTTATATTCTGCATTTGATAATTCTAATATCCATAGACTTTGCTTGTCAATGTGTATTATCATATATGGTGGTAATTTCCTGTGTGTCTAATGATTTATGACAAAAAACTCTTGGGGTCTCCATTTAAAGCACATTTTTCCAGAGACAATTTCTATTTGCTTCTGTGAGGTACCTATTGACCTGCCTACATCTATTTTAAACTAAATTTAGGCCACACATGAATGTGACCTTGTGCTTAGAAATTTTCAGAGGAGACTTTTTCCCATAGTTTACTATTCTTTTTTTTTTTTTTTTTTTAAATAGTTTTCTATTCTAACTCTCAATGGAGCCAGGAGTAAAAAAAGCCAATCTCTTTCTGAAGGATAGCTTTGTTTCTTGTTCACTCACTAAGGGCGTCATTTTGGGGGAGATCCTGAACTTATCCAGGGGTTTCCTGACTGCATCAGGCTTCAGGCTCATCTTTTGTTACCTGAACACAATCATAATCCAAGCTCTAAGCCAACAAGTCAGTAGAGACCACCCGGGTAAAGCCCCCATTGGAGTGCCCCCTGAGCCTATGGGATAATTTTTGGCCTGAGCTTTATTCCATTCATTTCTAGCAAGCAAAACTGTGTTTTAAGAAAGCAAGTTTTTGTACTAATCCAGTTTTTGTAGGTGCCTTGAATTAGGAAGGAGCTCTCTGACACTAAAAGTGTCAAAAAAGAGATTCACTCATGCCACCCGTGAAGAACACTGATTCTGATCTCAAACATGAGGGCTGCTAACAAGGAGCGACATCACTATGAAGGGATTTGTAAAGATTATTATGTATGAAGGCTCAATGAGCTATTTTCTATGGAGTGTCATGAAGTTTTGAGCTGGAAGATAGAGACTAGCTAGTCCAACATTGTCATCTTCAGTGTCCCTTTAACAGTTTGACAAATATATTACGTGTCCACTGCGTATTGCTTCTGTGGTCAGCACTGGAAAGAATGAACTGATTCTGTCTGGGCGCCACGAGATGATGACCTAGCGCGGGAGGTAGACGTCCTGCAGTACGGTGTGTGAGGTTAACAACAGAAATATCCCAACTACGGAACCAGTGAAAAAGGATCGTGATTGATTGGGAATGGATTGGAGGAGGCTTCCTGGAGGAATAATCATCCCATCTTAAGAGTAAAGGAGTAGGAATTAGATGTGTAGAGGAGGATAGTAAAAAGACATTCCTGCCACAGGGAATAGGATGGACAAAGGCGAGCAAGTATGAATTAGTCACATATCACATGAGTGACACATAAAAAAAATAATAAATGATCTGGATATAAACTTACTTAACACCTAAAATTTCTGAAGGTGTGAGACATGTAGATGAATAAATATGGAAAGAGAAAAGACACTTTCTTTGAGAACTTTTCCCATACAAATAGGATAGAATTAAATCTGGTCAAACTTGGATTGCCCTTTCAGTGAAAGATTATGTGTAATTATATGTAAATTGACTCAAAATTTCTTCAATTTGTCTGTAAAACACTAGAATGACATTTTGAATCCACTGGCTAATTTAAAAAATTTCCATTTTTAAATTCTTTTAAAGTTTAGAGATGCATATCAAAATATTTAGGAGCGAGGTATTATGCTGTCTGCAATTCACTTTAAAACACCCACAGTGAAAAATAAATTCGATGAAATGAATATGGTAAAATATGAACAAGTGTCAATTCTAGGTGATGTGTACATATGTAATATTCTCTGTTTTATTTATGAAAAAAAATTTGTAATAAAAATTAAACATTTTCCTCATGTCTATGAGAGAAAAGGAAAAGCAAATATACCTAGTTATAAAATGATTCAAGTAGTTAAAAGCAAAACTCAAAATATTAATGGTCCCAGTTCGACTTCACAAATGTGTGATTATATTGTGTTATGGGTAACTGTAGAACTGAAAAGAGACAAAGTTAGAGTCTCCAGATTTTAGATTGTTCTGTGTAAATATCACAGTTTGAAGAGCTTCACTAATAAATAGTTTGTCCTGGCCTACACAAAAGATTACAAGGAATGTAATTAATGGTGTTAATTTGTAAAGGGAGATTGGTGAGTCATCAGACAATTAATTAGTTTCTTGCTAATTAATGAAAGTATTTACTCATATGAAATGTAACATGATGAAAGAGTAGATGTTAATTAAGATCTCTGTAATATCTTTATGAGGTTATGGCCTCCCCAATCCTTTCAACCTTTGTGAATATTTAGTATTGTCAAAAGGCCACCTGAGAGATGAACACAATCTACAGAAACATTATATTTGGGGAATGTTGGTTTTCTGAATTTTGGGGGGTATATGTGTATGTGTGTCAGGTGGTATCTTACAGAGAACTAGAAAAGTGTCCTCTTTAGAGCGTGAGGAAAATGTCAACAGATTTGTCTCCATAGCAGTTTAAAAGCTACATAATTATAGAATAAACTGGTCATTGAATTTTAAACTTATATTAAGCCTTTATTCCATAATGTGACTAACTCTTGCTAAAAAATATCAAATAAAATCACAGAATACAATCTATAGGGACAACTAGTTACCAGAACATGAGAAGGCACAAGAATGTTTGTTCAGGTCTGGTTTATGTAGATTGCACAAAAGATATCTGGTAAAGGATCGGACAGTCCAGATAAATAAAGATGCATGACTTATTAAAGACAAGTGAATGGATGGGAAGCCATGTGGAATGCTATCAAAATACAGAAGAGTGCTTAGGATAAAGCTGATGAAAGAGATTGATTCATTGCCCTCTGCTTAAATAAGAAAGAAGAACAAAATGCAGGTAATGGGGAAAAGAAGCTGGGGAAACTGTGCCTCAGAAGTAGGAGCCAGTGCGATGGGTTCCTGGTTTACTTGTGTTATGTAAAGCCCAGGCTTTGATTATGTGAGCAAGGTGAGGCTGTTTCCAAGAAAACTTTCTCTTCTATAGAAAGAGTGTGGGCGAGGGAAGACATTTTCTTTTTCTTTTTGCTTCATCAATCCCCAAAGCAAATCAAGTTATTCGTTTCCATGTGCTATGGAGGACACTAAGAAGTTAATTTCAGGTTTATGCTGGATTCTTTTCTGTACAGATCAGTGTTTGCATGACTCTTCAAAACTGAACAAACAACCTGACATCATCAACATTAGCTAGAACAAAATTTCTCAGCTACAGTTAGTGGAATTGATAACTAAAAAATTGAGAGGGTTATAATGGATAGTACCTGTGGTAGCAGAATAAGGGTCCCCCCAAATAAGGAGATTATCCTGGATTATCTGGATGTGTTCAATGTAATCTCATGGTTCTTCAAAGTGGCAGAAGAAGGTGGGCACATCAGTAAGGGAGAAGGAGAATGGAGGAGATACTTGAAATGTGAGAAGAGTTTGACCTGCCTCTTGACTTTGAAGATGGAGGAAGGGGGTCATGACCAAGGAATGCAGGTGACTTCTAGAACTTGACAGCCAGAAAGGAAGGGGGAAACTCAGTCCTAGGTGTACTCACTGGATTTCTGACATAAAGAAATAGTGAGATAATAAGTTTGGGTTATTTGAAGCCATTACCCTTGTGGTAATTTATTTTGGTAGCAATAGAAAAATGAATACAGCACTCATTGAGAGTAATCTCATTTTGAAATGGAAGATATGTTCTCTTCTTGGAAGTTCCCACACAGATGATGGAGAGGGGTCCTGAAGAACACAGAGTGTTGGCATTGACTGACATTGTCAAGTGCCGGTCCGGTGCCGGGTGGCTAATGCAGGGAGCAAAGACAGAATTCCCTGCCTTCAGGGTCCCTGTGGTTTCAGAAACCAATAATAAAATAACACTTAATATTGGAAAGCAATGAAAGCTCAGGTAAAAATAGAGCAGGAAAGGGAAAAAGGAGTGTGTTAAATGTAATTCTAAATGGGGAAAAGTTACTCAGGAGTGACCATGTGAGTAAAAGTCTGTGGGACAGAGGGGGATAAGTGGTGAGGCCATGGGGGAATTGAAGTGGAAGGAGGGCAGGAGGACCTTGGCTGCGATAAATAAATACTGGGAGCTTGCAGGGGCTTTCGAACATTATAAGGACTTGGCTTTTGCTGGGAGTGAGATGGGAAGCCTTTGGGGGAGATTTGGGCCTGTTGTGTGAATAAGTGAAAGGAGAGGAAGAATGGAATCTGGAAGCCAGATATACACTTCAATGAAAAGTGTCTTCAATTTATGTGTAAAAAACTAAAATGGCACTTTGAATTCACTAGTTAATTTAAGAAATTTCCATTGTTAAATTCTACTTAAGTTGAGAGATTCATATTAAAATATTAGCTATTACGCTGTCTGCAATTTCCTTTAAAATACCACAGAGAAAAATAAATTACATGAAATAAATATGGTAAATTATTAGCAAGTGTCATTTCTAGGTGATGTATATATATAATGTTCTCTGCTTTATTTATGAAAAACATTTTGTAATAGAAAGAAAATAAACATTTTCCTCACGTCTGTGAAATAAATGGAAATGGAAATGCAACTACCTAGTTATAAAATGATTCAAGTAGTTAAAAACAAAACTCCAAATATTATTGATCTCAGTTTGACTTCACTAACGTGGTTATATTGCATCATGGGTAATTATAGCACTGAAAAGAGAAAGTTGGAGTCTCCAAATTTCATTTTATTTTATTTTGTTAAGTTTATTTATTTATTTTGAGAGAGAGAGAGATGGGGAAGGGGGGCAGAAAAAGAGGGAGAGAGAGAATCCCAAACAGGCTCCTCGTTGTAAGCACAGAGACTGACCTAGAACTTGGTCTCATGAACTGTGAGATCATGACCTGAACCAAAATCAAGAGTTGGATGCTTAACTGACTGAGTCACCCAGGTGCCCCAGGAATTTCCAAGTTTTAAAATGGAAATATCATGGCCTGACAAGCATAGACCACAGGTGTGGCAATGGAGGTTGTGAGAAGTGGTTGCACTCTGGATGTACTTTGTCCATTCAGTCCCCCCGACTCTGTATCTTTATACTTGATTCTTGAGGAGAGTAAATTTTGTGAGTGCATTTAAAGAAAGAGATAAGTGTTAGACTTAAACAAATTTCTAGAATTATTGGTAAAAAAGAAAAAAAGGATCACTGGTAAAAAGGCAAACCCAAATCTTGGAGCGTATCTGTGAAGCTCAATCTGTTTCATATATATTTTTTAACATCAGTTTTTTAAAAAAATTTAGAGTAAAACAATGTAGCTATAACTATCATAGAATTTACTACAGAGGTTTTTCACAATGAATTCCAATGTTTCTTCTGTATTAATTGCTATAACTCATATATTGTGGAATCACTAAAATATGTTTAATTTATGCAAATCAAGTGTTCTTACTAATGGCCCTTTAAGGAAGCTGGTGGTTGTACCTTAGGGTATTTGCATCACATCTATGCCATTCTTGTTTGCACAACTACTAATTTGTTTTACATTTTGCTGCAGGTATTTTGAGTGCATTTAATATCTGGTTCCAATTACATTTTTGTTTATTTGCTTTTTAATTTTTTCCTTGATTAGAGGGAAATTGTTTCCCAGAATGGGATGGACTCATTTGTTGGCCCAGAGGAACAGTGGGGAAACTATTGGCTGTGCCATGCCCTCCTTATATTTATGACTTCAATCATAAAGGTATTGAGTTTTTCTGCAATGGTTATTTTGGAATGGAAATGTACTCCCCTCCCCCGCAATGGATGCCAAGGGAACTGGGCAATCTCAGTGTTTTCCTTCATGTCTTTACAGGAGTTGCTTTCCGACACTGTAACCCCAATGGGACGTGGGATTTTATGTACAGTCTAAATAAAACATGGGCTAATTATTCAGAGTGCCTTCGTTTTCTGCAGCCAGATATCAGCACAGGAAAGGTAATGATATTGGGGGGGGGGATGCCTGGATGGCTCAGTTGGTTAAGCATCTGACTCTTGATTTCGGCTCAGGTTGTGGTCTCATGGTTTGTGAGTTTGAGCCCTGCGTCTGGCCCCTGCACCGTCAGTGTGCTTGGGATCCTTTCTCTTTCACCCTCTCTGTCTGCCCCTTCCCACCCTATCAAAATAAATAAACTTAAAAAAAAAAAGGAAACGTAATGATATATTTTGTATTTGCAAACCCCTAAGGGAAAACAGAATATTTTTATGCAGTTCTTGATTGTCAACTACTATATGTAAAAATCATTTTATTCTGGGACATAAAGATTATAAAAGATAAAAGCAAGGTTAGAATCTTTTAGATATCTGGTTAAGGAAAGGTGTGGGACCTGAAACATTCTGTATTTACTTTAGGTTAGTGTTGTCTGGCTGAGATATAGGCATATATACTAATAAATATGTGTCAGTGTGTGTACATTATGTTTATATTATATTGTACTATGCTATATTACATTATATTATACATAAAAATTGAGATAGGTATTCAGCAACAGGATTCATGATTTCCTTTTTGTTACCTGTGTATGACTCCTTCTCATTTCACTCTATATTCCTGAAGGAGATTTGTATTTAAAAGATATATTTTTCATTTCATAAGATTAACCATAGGTGATTTCATTAGTATTTGTAAGATTAGAGTTGTAGAATTAAGGAGCAGCAAGGGGCATCTATAAGTCTTCCAGATGACACCTTAATTTTACACGAGTCAGCTCAGAAGCAGAGATTTGGGGTGTTAGCGTGACCCAGCTCGCTGATGATGGGATCTAAAGTGGAATCCTGATCTCCAAATTTCTCATCAGTACTGTTTGCGGTATAGCTATTATATATAAACTTTGGAAACTTCTAGATAATCACTTTTACGTGACACATAGGCTTTAAAAATCATGTTTAATTCCCATCACTCAACCCACATAAGTAAAATTCTTGTTGTATATGCATATGATGTTAGGAGTGAATATGATAAATGGATGTATAAATGATTTCTATGGGGACCTGAGAACAGTCTCCAATACATGAACTGCCAGCATTAGACCTTTTTCCTAATGCTTAATTTTTTTTTTTAGTCAGTGTGGGGGGTGAACAGGGAGAGCAGGAAGAGAAGTGGTGAGTTGACGATGTCTTTGATTTCGCACTAATAGAAATTCCTTTCTTAGCTTTCTTCTTTTCTGACCTAAAGTGCTACCACCTTAATGAACTCTCTAGTAAGTTGTTGAAAGACCTTCAGCTTTATATTTCATTGCTGACGTTACTCAATGTGAGAAGATGATGGATTCCACTATGGAGCTGAAACTAACAATGAGTTCATATAAAATGCTTCAAAATAATTTTAATTTCATTGACAGAAGTAAACAGTATTTATTGTGATGAATTTATTTGTGCATTAAATGATGATGCAAGTCTTCCATGACTTTTAAACAGTTATTCAGTTAAATCATGGTTTTATTTACACTGAACTCTAATCTTAGAACCACTCTTTGTGATTACTGTGTATTCCAATAATCAAAGTAGCCTAGGATAGTAATACACCCAACTATGTACTAGTTCATGTGAAAATGATCTAAAAATTAATTGAGGAGTGCCTGGGTGGCTCAGTCAGTTAAGCATCCAACTCTTGATTTTGGCTCAGAGCGTGATCTCATTGTTCATGAGTTCAAGCCCTGCATCAGGCTCTAAACTGACAATGGGGAGCCTGCTTGGGATTCTGTCTCCCTCTCTCTCTGTCCCTCCCTGCTTGCTCTCTCTCTCAAAATAAATAAAACATAAACTTAAAAAAATAACTCAAAGATTTGATGAATTTTGTTAGCATATTATATTTCCTTAATTAAAAATATAAAGTGTTTTATATTGCTTACAACCCTTACACAATAATTTGAGAAAACTTAAGAATACTAAATATCCCCTACTAAGAAAACTGGATATGTCCTGAAGTTTCGATATACTCTAGAGCAAAGTGATATTACTTATTTATGTCATTAATTCTTAATGGTTAGAAGGAGAGCTTTTGTATAAGGAACAACAAATAAACAAAAGAGTGTGCATTGAGAATAAATATCTTTATTGGGGGAAATAAATTGAAGATATTTTACACATCTATTGTTTTGTTCCTTAAATAATTTCCTTATTGTTGGCTTAACAAAATGAGACACTTACTATTAGTAAAAAGATAGGAAGGAACTCTTCTGATAGGCCATAATCTTTGAGAGTATTGTATTTAAAATAGTAGTATACTCTAAAAATTACCATATCTAAAGGCTAAATGAACTTCTGGAAAGCAATGTGGCAAAATATATGAAAAAAACTTCAAAGTGGTCATAACCTTTGATCTACTAATGTTACTTCTAAGATTCAAGTAAAAGATTTGGACTGGGGGGAATTGAACGGACAAAATGTTCCTTGAACCACTAATTATTATAGTGAGTATTCTGAAGAATATAAGTTTTCAGTGAAGCACCTTCCAGAGAAGGTTAAATAAGCTTATATAAATTTTTTTGTAAAGAGTTTTTGGTCTTAGGAAGTTCCTTTGTTATACAGTTAACAGAAAAAAGAATCAAGTAATAAAGTTGAATGTATATTAAGAATTTGATGTTCAAAACAATAGAAAATGCTTCATAGAGACAGAATGGAAAGAAATACACAAAATACAATGCTTGTTTTTGGTTGGCAGGAATTCAGGAGATTTTTTCCCCCATCTTTTGTATTTTACACATTATCCAAATATTTTCTATACAAAGTTTTAGTATTTTATTCACTGATAATAAAATGTAGTAAACATTTTTACAAAGGAATAAGAGGCAAAATCTTTTGCTTCCAGTTAAGATATAGGAAGTTGTGACAATAGGAAGAGATTGAATAAGATGCAAAATTGGAAATTTGTAATAACTCACCATGAGCTGAGGATGCCAAGAACTCTAAATGATCCTAATTCTAGAAGTGGGCAAGCCCTTCCTATATAAGAGAGGAGACCTGTGACTGCTATTTATCCCTGGGTTTGTAGCAGAAGAGGAACAACCACGCCATCACAGGGGACAAAAAGAAGAGCCAGGCTTTGAAACCAACTTTTCACAGACAAGAGTTGGCATGAGAGCTTAGATTTCCAAGAAGTGAGCGCCATTCACAGTGAGCTATCACCTACCAACATGTTTCCCACGGGGCTTCACTGAGTGTGTGGAGGCCCTGTGCCAACGGCTGTGGGTAGCACAGAGGGAGCTGAGAAACATTCCCCACGAGGTGTGTAGGGCTCTCAGAATGGGAGGCAGCAGGTGGCCAAGGCATGGGACAGAACAGAGGAGCTGAGAGATGTGCCTTGAGGCCCGTGGGGCCTTCACTAGATGCATGATTGTACAGCCCAAATGCCAGGGAAGGGCAGGAGAGCAAAGCAAGAGCCCTCGCAACTCAAAAAGCTGACGGATGATTCAAATACCAACAAAAGTTCTATGGCTTGGAAACTGTCAAGTGGGCTAAAATCCACCTCATGGCCGCTAGAGGCTGCTGGTGCTAAGATCTCCGGGTCTGCTGAAGGCGTGCTGGTTCTGCTCTCAAAACCTAAAACTAAGATAAAAGGAATCCCCCCAAAAATAAAACAAAAAACTACAACAGAGCTCAACTCAGCTTAACAACAGGGTAACCCAGCCTCCCGACCCCAGAAGACTGACAGAGGAAGAGGCCTGCCCTTTTCAGGCTGTTAACATCATAGACTTTAGTCCCTACTATTCTTTTACTAAAGGGCCTGGAATGTAACACAAAATTATAAGGCAAGGATCCGAAATCTGTAGCAAGAATAACAGCAGGAAAAAAAATCCGGATGATCCAGATGTTGGAATTTGCAGATGAGTACTTAATAATAACTATTGCAAATATGTTAGATGATTTAGTGAATGACAAAGGTACATAAAACAGTTGGGAAAATCAGAGAAATAAAAACTGAAAAAAATAACAAAAAGGAAATTCTAAAATGGAAATATTCAATTCAAAAATGAATTCATTTGATAAGGTCAACAGCACACTGGATACAGCATGGTAAAGGATCGATGCCCTTAGGGGAGCCTGGGTGGCTCAGCAGGTTAAGCCTCAGGCTCTTGATTTCAGCTCAGGTCATGATCTCATGGGTTAGTTACTTTGAGCTTCTCATCGAGCTTTGTGCTGACAGTGTGGAGCCTGCTTGGAATTCTCTCTCTCCCCTCTCTTTCTGGTCCTCCTCTGCTTGCTCTCTCTCTCTCTCTCTCTCTCTCTCAAAATAAATAAATAAATTAAAAAAAAATAAAATCTTAAAAGCAGAAAGAAAAAGGGCATATTATATCCAAGGGAACAGCAATATAAAAGATGCCTGCCTTTTAGTCAGAAAGAGTGGAGGCCAGAATACAGTGGGATGACATCTTTAAAGTGATCCTATATATTAGGTTGAAGGTAAAAAAATGATACATTTCAGATAAAACAAAATGAAAGAATCTTTGTCATACCTTCAGTATAGGAAATATTCAAGAAAGTCCTTTAGGGTAAAGAGAACTTTATCAGATGGGAGCATAGATTAGTAGGAAGGAATGAGAAGTACCAGAATGGGTATATATGTGGATGAGAATGACAGAGAAGGGGCACTTGGGTGGCTCAGTTGGTTGGGTGTCTGACTTTGGTTCAGGTCATGATCTCACAGCTCATGAGTTAGAGCCTTGTGTAGGGCTCTGTGCTGACAGCTCAGCTGGAACCTGCTTCAGATTCTATGTTTCCCTCGCCCTGCCCCTCCCCCACTTGTGATCTGTCTTTCTCTCTCAAAAATAAACATTTAAAAAAAATTATTTATTTATTTTCAATGTTTTATTTATTTCTAGGAGAGAGAGAGAGACAGCGTGAGCAGGGGAGGGTCAGAGAGAGAGGGAGTCACAGACTGAAACAGGCTCCAGGCTCTGAGCTGGCAGTCAGCACAGAGCCCGACGCGGGGCTCGAACCCACGAACCGCGGGATCATGACCTAAGCGAAAGTTGGACGCTTAACCGACTAAGCCACCCAGGCACCCCTAAAAAAAAAATTTTAAATGACAGACTAAAACAATAAATAAAACTCTATTCTTATCCTCATTGCTATTTTATATCTAATCTTTATATCTGTGTCTATAATTTAATTCATTTAAAAGTCTATTGACTGCTTAAAGCAAACAAATGGTTTCTTATTAGGGTTTATAAATTATGTAGACAGAATCTAAAAGGGATGTATTCTGGGAAGCAAAATTGAGTATATTAGTTTGTGAAATAGTTCAATATTATGTAATGTAGGTTCTGATAAGTTCGGGATGCATAACTGCTAAAAAGTAACACAAGTACAATATTAAGAAATACTTGATTGGACCCTCTCCCCTCCCCAAATAGAAGGTAAGGAAGTAGGTACAGCGGAACAAAGAGGAGATAGGACATCCAGAATGCAAGCACCAATGTGTTATTATTAAACCCACCCCTAGCAATGATTATATTCAATGTAAATGAAGTAAACAGTTACTTAAAAGGCAGAATGGGTAATAAAATTTCTCCTAATTATATATAGTCTTCAAGAAATGTACTCTAAATAGAAAGATACAGATGAATGTGAAGATAATAGATTTGTTGATATCAAAAGGGTAGATAAATTATATGCAGTGCATACATTAGGCATAAAAGAGTTGGTGTGAGTAGGTAGACTTGAAGACAGTAATGCCAACATGGAGGGACATATCAGAGTGATAAAATAACCCACTTACCAGGAGGAAATAACAGTCCTAAATATGCATGCATCTAGGGGCTTCATAAAGCAAAAATTGTCAAAGCTAAAGGGAGACATGATCAAATCCCATCATATTGGAATTTATAAAAATACCATTCTCTCAGTAATTGGTAAAACAATTAGGTAAAAACTTCCATAGCATATATTTAAAACAATTTGATTAAAATGACATTTATAGAACACAATAGCCAAACACTACAAAATTCACATTCTTTTAAATTACACACCAAAAGTTCAAGTGTCAACAAATCTCGAGATGAAAATCATACAGAGTATATTTTCTCGACACAAAAGAATTAATTGAATTCAATTAAAATAAAATATGTAGACAGTTGACAATATGTGTTGGAAATATGTGACCCATGGCAAAAGTGTGAACTGAATAATTATCAAAGCTGAATATATCAAAAATTGGGGGAAACAGTGAAAACAGAGCTTTTTTTTTTTATAGCTTTCAGTGCATAATTAGAAAGGAAGAAAGGTAACCATTCAGTAATCAAAGGTTCCACATTAAACAGTACACAATAATACCTACCACAAAAAGAGACATCAAAATGGAATTCTACAAAATGTTCAAGTAGCCCACTGTGTGGCAGGAAAAATAAAAGAGAGAAATGGAAAATAGAACAACAGAAAAAAGAAAATAAAATGATGGACTTAGCCTTAACATATCAATATTATATTTAAAAAATGGTGTAAATATACCAATTAACAGAGATTGAAGAAATCTATTAAAAAGCATGACTCAAATGTATGCTGTCTACAAAGTTTGGAACATTTAAAATATAATGATACACATAGATTATACACATACTATACCATACTATTCGGCATAAAAAAGAACAAGCTTGATATATGCAATAGCTTGAATGGATCTTGAGTGAAAAAAGCCAATCTCAAAAGGTCACATACTTTATGATTCCATTTCTATAACATTTATGAAATTATATATTTTTTAAACTTAAAAATTTTTTTTAATTTTTTTTTTACTTTTGAGAGAGAAAGAGACAGAACATGAGTAGGAGAGGGGCAGAGAGAGAGGGAGACACAGAATCTGAAGCAGGCTCCAGGCTCTGAGCTGTCAGCATAGAGCCTGACCTGGGACTAGAACTCACAGACTTGAGATCATGACTTGAGCCAAAGTTGGGCGCTTAAATGACTGAGCCACCCAGGTGCCCCTGAAATGACAAAATTATAGAGATACAGAAATGTACAAATGTGATAACATGATGTAGAATTATAAATGCACAATTGCACCATATCAAATTTCTGCCTTTGTAATTTTAGTATAATTATGTTAAGATGTAACCATTGGAGAATACTGAGTAAAGGACACATAGGACATTTTTTACTGTCTTTTCCAGTTTTTGTGAATTTGTAATTATTTTAAAAAATTAAAAAGGAATGGATCATTCATTCATGTAGCAATATTGGTGAATATCAAAAACATTATTTTGACAAAAACAGTATATACTATCTAATTCTTAGTCCAAGAACAGTCAAAAAGTACATGAAGTACATGAACAGATGGTACCAATTTGTGATGACAGAAATTGGAACAGTGGTTACAAGGGGATGAATGGTGGGTGGTTTTCTTGACTGGCCAGGGGCACAGCAAAGTTGGTTTGTCAAAAACCCATCAAACAGTTCATTTGAGATCTGTATTTCATGTGAATGATGGCTCAATAAAAACTGAAAGAGCCAAAGATTGGAAAGAGCCCAAATGTCCATCGATGGATGAATGGATAAAGAAGATGTGGTGTATATATACAATGGGGTATTACTCAGCAATCAAAAAGAATGAACTCTTGCCATTTGCAACTACATGGTTGGAACCAGAGGGTATTATGCTAAGCGAAATTAGTCAATCAGAGAAAGACAAATATCATATGACTTCACTCATATGAGGACTTTAAGATACAAAACAGATGAACATAAGGGAAGTGAAGCTAAAATAATATAAAAACAGGGAGGGAGACAAAACATAAGAGAGTCTTAAATATAGAGAACAAACAGAGGGTTACTGGAGGGGTTGTGGGAGGGGCGATGGGCTACATGGGTAAGGGGCATTAAGGAATCTACTCCTGAAATCACTAACTTGGAATCTACTCCTATATGCTAACTAACTTGGGTGTAAATTTAAAAAATAAATTAAATAAAAGAAAAAAATAAAAAAGGAAAAAACCAAACCAAAACAAAAAAATAAATGGAAGTTACAGTAAACAATTTAAAAAAATTAAAGAAAGCTAGAACTAATATTCCAAGAATGACATATCGTTTTTACACGTTTCCTTTTAAAATAGCCATGTAACATGCTTTTTGTTTACCTCAAATATCACATTAGATATACAGTTCCAAGTAATTAAAGTGGATAGCACAAAAATTCATGAAGTAAATATTGCAACATTTAATTTGGCCTCAATTAAGCAAGAAATGTCCAAGATTATTATTATATCTTTAACTCTGACTTGAATTTAGAAAGTAAAAGGAAGACCAGATAAATAACCAATGTTCTATAAATGGGATAATACATTGCCTGTCTCTAAACAGAGGAAAACATGATTTTTAAGTTTATGTACATCTACTTATTTGTTCAAACCTGTTTTTCTAATTAAATCTCTTCCCCGTCAGCAAGAATTCTTTGAACGCCTCTATGTCATGTACACAATTGGATATTCTATCTCCTTCGGTTCCTTGGCTGTGGCTATTCTCATCATTGGTTACTTCAGGTGAGTGATCCCCTATGCATTTCTCCATGAAGGAACAGGTTTTGTTTCCTATGCATCGAAGACGTAGAGGTGTCAAAATTTCTGTCTCCAAGCACTTTTCTCAGCATAAGTTTTTGAATTCACCCCAGTGTTATGATATTTGGCATTGAAATTTTATTTTTCATGAGGAGATTCAGGGTTTTTATTTTTGTTGTTGTTTAAAAAATGAAAAAAAATTTTAAAAAAGCATTAAAGCAGTATGAAGCCAGTAAGTCAATAGATCATTCAGGACAGTATGCTGTTTGCAAAGTGACACATGCAGAGCGGAACAGAATGAGTTACAAAAATTTTCATTCCTGGTGCAAAGACTTCATTTTTCCCAAATGAATTTGGTGCCCTTGGACCAAAATTCATTTGAAATAATTTCCCAAATTATCTGATGATATATATAAAATAATCACGTTTATTGCTTCTGTTGTGGTTTGTTTTTTATCCATTGAAACTTTTGCCTGATTCGATTCAACTTAATCTAAATCAATACAAAATTTTGAGCACCGGTATGCAGATACAACAGTGCACAGCATGTATGGGAAAGGTATTCTCATTATGCTTGCAGCTGCTTTGTGATACAAAGAGCTGAAGAAACAATTAGTATACAGTGTGAGAAGTGCTGTGATTCAGGTGGTGGATGGTAATTTGGGATGGCAGTGTTAAGAAGATGAGGGAAGACTGAAATGAAGTGAAATCTCAAAAGACATGGGAGTATAAATAAGATTTAACCAACAAGGAACCTTGGAGAACAGAGTTTAGATCAAGACAAGTTTATGTCAAGAAAAGCATGGAATATTTGAGATTTCAGAGTTGTGGTGTAGGTAAGTGATGGGCACTGAGACAGGAGAGGTAAGCAGGGTTGAGGATGTTTTGAGACCTGAAGGTTATAGGAAGAAATATGAACTTTACCCAAAGAGCAATGAGGAGCCATTGAAGAATTTTAAGCAGAAGAGTGACATGAAAGGTCATTTGTAAGGTGGAGAGTGAGTTGGTGGGAGGCAAAATAGGAAGCTCATTTGGAAGAGGCTGTTAGAATAATTCAGGACCAGAAGATGGTGGCCTGGCCAACAGCAGTGGCTTTGAGGATTGGATAGAAATGGAAGGTTTTGAGGTATATTAATTAAGACAATATAATTTTAAGAATTTAGTGGCAAATTATGTGTGGGGAGAGAGAGGAGGGTAGATGACAGATTCAAAAAACAAAATGTTTTATATTTTGTTTCTGACCATCTTACAATCTCCTCTTCCTTGAAACTTCTCATATTTATTTCCTGTTTTGTCTTTCTCTTTTGTTTTATCATGATCTAATATGATGTTCTACTTATTTATCTTTTTATTTATCTCTTCGTCTAGAATGTAAAACTACATAAGAGCATTATTTTTTTTCTGTTTGCTCATTGGAGCATTCTTAGTAGTTGCAATGTACTTGATTTGTAGTAATGCTTAATAAATAGTTGTTGAATTAATAAATAAATGACTAGTTTAATATTCCAACTACTTCTTCTAAAATGATGACTCTTATTATGGTATAGTTTATATTTTCAAAACTTTTACTTTATTGATTCACTAGTCCATCTACTCAGTAAGCATTTTTCTCTGTCATATGGTAGACTCTTTTTAGTACTGATGGAGAACAGGTTAAGATATGTTGCAGACTGGAAAAGGAGTATATAAGCCATTGAGAGAGACTGACTCATTAAATGATTATAAAATAAAATACTGTTAGTACTATAATACAGGTTTTTATAAAGAGCTTTGGGAAGACCAAGGTACTAGTCCAAAACTGACTAGATGAGAGAGAGAGAGAGAGACTTCCCAGATCAACAGACATGTGAACTGATGTTGCAATGATGAGAAGGAATTCAATGCATTCCAGATGATGGGAACAGAATGTGCAAAACTCAGAGGCAGGAAGGAGCAGAGTAGATGCTGAGAACATAGAAGAGTCCAGTGTGAATGCAGCATTTGATTTACAGGGAGAAGTATCCAGGTAGGAATGGCCAGGAAGAAACTAGATTTTGTGGCATTGGGTTTGCAGGCCCTTGTCAAAGGCTTTGAATTTTGTCTTGGAAAGGTAGAGAATAGGGAGCTAATGAAGTTGTTAAGTAGAAGGGGACCACCATCAGATCTGTAAAATTACGAAGGTGTTCTCAAAACAGTCTTGTGAAATTGGCTTGGCAGTATTATCTCATTTTAGAGACACCACTGAAGCTCAGTGTCCAAGGTCACAAGGTCCCAGATGATCCAATTGGAAACAGAACCTTCATCTTCCAACTCCTATCCAGTCCATTCCATTATACTAAGTGTAGCTCTGGTTGTTTAGAATAAGAAGTGAATATTTATGAGAAAAAAACCCTACACAAAATTTCAGGAGGATACACATCACTAAGTAGTAATTCTTCAATTTACGTAGTCATTTATCACTCTATTTAACAAATTCTTTTCTATATAGTACTTTTTATACAATTATTGTACTATATAGCAGAATGCTATACAAAAATTTGAGAAACTTCCATCTCACAAAACAAAGTACTTTTTTTAATGGGATAGTAAATTGTGTTGAGTCTTCTAAAAATCCATACCTATTTATATCCTCTGATGGCACTATTCACAGTCAATGGTTTCCACAAACACCTGAAAACCTATCTGGTAAAATCCCACTTGATTGTGAAGAAACTCCCCCAAAAGAATCAATCCATGAGGAGGACCATCTGGGCAGCATGGACATGCATCCGTGTCCCTAACATACTAACAAAGCACTTCCAAAATTTCTAATTTTAGCTCATTCTCATTTGGTCTACCCCCTCCTATATTATGAAATATAAAAATATATTATTGGATTAAATTTTTTTTACTACCTTACACTTGCGTACTTTGTCCTTTCTGGAAGAGAAGTATTATTGTGTCCCTTGTACAGGGAAGTTGTACTGTCTCACAGTCAAGCAATGGTAGTGCTGGGCCAGATTATACGTCCCTTTCTAAGTGTTGTTGTTGTTTTCCATCAAACTTAAAAAAAAGATCTCTTTTGGAGTTAGCTTTTTGTAAAGGAAATTAGTAGTACTATATCTACTTATAAGTATGTTATGACTTAACTTGTGTCTAAGATTCTTTTATAAACTCAAAGCTTTTTATGTTAAAGTCAGCTTGTTTACTCTTTAACAGTACTTGGAAATAAAGTTGTGTAATGCTATCAAAATATTTTTACTTTTTCTTTTTTTTTAAAAAATTTTTAATGTTTATTTTTGAGAGACAGAGAGAGAGTGGCAGAGAGACAGAGAGACAGAGTGTGAGCCGGGGAGGGGCAGGGAGAGAGGGAGACACAGAATCCAAAGCAGGCTCCAGGCTCTGAGCTGTCAGCACAGCTGATACCTGAGCCACTCAGGTGCCCCTATTTTAATTTTTTCTTATAGAGAATGTATTGAAAATGCAAAAGTTCCACTTTTAATAATATTTATCCCTTTTCAAAATGGTTCTTCATTAACCATTTATTACTTTAATATATAGTTTAGTATAATACTACCATATAATGTAATAGCTAACTGCCAAATCAGAATAAACATGGTAGTAGAGCAGGATAAATTTGAAATCATTTCTCAAAAAGTTACAATTTAGATTTTGATCTCAATTGTTTCTATTGGAAATATATAGTAATGGGTTTCTGTCTTTGTTCATGCTTACTGCATTTTCTTCTTTGTGGACGAGTATGGGCTCATTTATGTATTTTCTTTCTCCATTTCTAATTTCATCCAAATCTAAGAACTAAATATTTTTTCTCTATAGACGATTGCACTGCACTAGGAATTACATCCACATGCACCTGTTTATGTCTTTCATGCTGAGAGCTGTAAGCATCTTTGTCAAGGACAAAGTGGTCCATACTCACATAGGAGTCAAGGAGCTGCAGTCTCTGTTAATGCAAGATGACCTGCAGAGTTCCATGAAAGTGGCTTCTGTGGACAAATCACAGTATGTAAGTGTTTTCACCATTTTCTCTCATTACTGATTCACATAACATTATAGATACGTTACATTTTACAGTCCACTAAATGTTAACTTGTTTGGGCTTATCTCTGAATTAACTGATGACCAGTTTGTATAATGTTTACTACCTCAGTTCTGTCTCAAGCTTCACTCCTAATTACTCATCATCTTAGACTATTAAAAGTATTTGGGCTCTTTCCTCCAGAACATTCTGGAATGGAAGCCTCAAAAATCACATGACTGGAATGCATTTGGTATATGGCTCCTAGCCACTGTCTGTGACTCTCAAAAGTAAAAAGCTCACTTGCAAAACCAGAAGTGTGGGATTTAAAAGCCCACGACATTTAGTTTCTTTATTGTAGACTCAAAGACTTGTTCAAATGTAAGACTCCAAGTACTTGATTCTGCTCTGAAATGCCCTGGGGTTATTTAGTAACTAGAATCACTCAATAATTCAGTTAGTTAGATACTGATGCACTATATCTAGAAATCAAGTATGCCTTGATGGTATGAATTAGTACCCTTTCTGTATCTTTGGCCTTTGCCCTGTAACTTTGTAACCCCTTCTGATTCTTATTCTGGGCTGGCTTTGTGACTTGTTTTATCCAACAGAATGAAGTAGATGTGACAGTGTGCCGGTTGAACGTAGAGCTCTGTGAGTGAGCCTAACCAAGATTAGCTGAACCTGGCCCAGATCAGCAGAATCACGTAGTCAGTCCATAGATTCATAAGATATATTAAATGTTTATTGTTTTAGCCACTGACTTTAGGGCATAAAAAGGACAAGAATAAAATAAATTTATGGTAGAATAAAGGCTAATATTTCTTCTTTATGCTCTTCTGTACTTTCCTAATTTTCTCTGATGATCAAGTCTTATTTTGATAAACAGGAGAAATTAAGCAAAAGTGATTTTTTGGTAATTTCTAAAGGAAAATTATCTTATATAAAAAAAGTAGAATCAAGCCCAGAGTCTTCGAGATGCTGTCTTAAAATAACTTTGTCCTCTCTTTTAACAGTCTTGGCTTTTCTATGTACAGGAAATAGATTATAAAAGAGAAGGAGAGAACTGCTTTTTGGTGGTCTGTTAGTGCATCTAGTACAATTAAGAGTTCTAATATGATGCAATTCTGGTTTATTTGTAACAGATTGGGTGCAAGATTGCTGTTGTGATGTTTATTTACTTCCTGGCTACGAATTACTATTGGATCTTGGTGGAAGGTCTCTACCTGCATAGTCTAATCTTTGTGGCGTTCTTTTCGGACACCAAATACCTGTGGGGCTTCACCTTGATAGGCTGGGGTAAGGTATTTATGTCTCCTTTCCCTTTAAACTGGATTATGGATTTGAGGGCTTTCTGTTAAGCCTGTCTTTAGCATACTTTCAGCCATTTTCCTGAAATGTCTCCCCATCTGACCTTTATACCTCCTTTTTACTCTTCCGTTGTTCATTGGGGAGAGTTATTAAGATCAAGACTATAAGCCTCCCAGTGGTAAGAAACTCTTCAGGTATATCTTACCGGTTGGTGTTCTTGGGCCAGATTCTTGAGAGAATTCTTCGGCAGAAATATAAAAGAACACATTGTTAGCCACACACATTTAGAACTGCTATGCTCTTGTCTTATGTCAGTGTCCTGATTTAACAATAATTTCACCCTAAATATTTTGATTTTTAAATTTCTAAGCTATACTGATGCATTGTTGATAAGTTGGTGAGAATGCCAGGAAGGAATTTATAAGATTGCATCTTGATTGCACTTAATGATAGAAATTACAAACTAATTATGTAGACTTATCATGTCTTTTGGAAAAACATAATTCAGATTACTTTATGCATACATAATTTAAAAAAGGATAACCAGCTCACATTCCAAAAATGCCTTATCAGTACTAGACTGGACTAGGCGCTAACTCAACATGACATGGAGAAAAGGATGTTGCTTTTTTGTTCAAATTTAAGAAAAATTAAAACTCATATGTGGTTGCAATTAAGAAACATCATGATTAACAAATGCAGATCTCAATTGTTATTTTATTTTTTTAAAGCTTATTTATTTTGAGAGAGAACACACACACACACACACACACACACACACACACACACACGAGAGTGGGGGAGGGGCATGGATAGAGGGGAAGAGAATCCTAAGTAGGCTCCGCACTGTTAGTGCAGAGCCCTATGTGGGGTTTGAATTCATGAACCATGAGATCAGGACCAGAGCCAAAATCAAGAGTTGGATTCTTAATTGACTGAGCCACCCAGGTATCATTTTATATTCAAATTATGAGGTGCTTGGCATTGGGAAAAAATTAACTAAGTGGTTCAAGATTAAATTTGAAGGGCTTTTTTTTCCTCCTCAAATTAAAAATATTTCTTTGTTTGCTTTACCTTAATATTGTTATAACATTTGAAAATGTGAAGTACGGAATATTGAATTTTCTACTAGTGAATGAATAACTTTTAAGAAAACAAAGGGTCTATTTACTATAACATTTCATTTATTATGAAATGATTGTTGTGAATAAAGTTTTATTTCTGAAGGCAGTGTGTCTATTTTAAAGCTCTGCTTTTGACTAGCAGTTGCTAAAAATAAAAAAGATGCATTTTATTTTTTTAGAGTACTTTGGAAATTTCCTCAATAGTTTCTGGCAGTTTGCCTTCAAATCATAATTACATCTTTGTACTCACATAATTACTAGAAGTTGGTAAAGGCGTTGATAGAAAATTCAGCAATGAGTGTAGATATCTGTCTGAGTTACGTTTTATATTTTGGATTTCAGCACCACTGGTCACACGTAATAAACTCTTTTTTCTCTATTTACTTATTGGTTTGATGGCTAACTCCCCCATTAACTGTTATTTGGTCAGGGGTGCCCAGAGTGGTTCAGTTGGTTAAGCCTCCAACTATGGCTTGCATCAATATCTTGCAGTTCGTGAATTTGAGCCCCATGTTAGGCTCTGTGCTGACAGCTCAGTCTGTTCCTTTTTAATGTCAGGAGTTTGTATCACTTAAACCCAAGAAACTAGTTTTCAAATCTTTCTACAAAAATAAAAAAAAGAATTGGAAAAAAAAAACAAAAAAAACAACAACAGTCCAGTGAGCTTCTATTCAAGTATGAATTTCTTACCTTCCTTTACAACTTTTACTGATTTGTCCACAAGAAATTTGACATTGGAATGATAACTATAGTAGAGAAGCATCGTTACTTGAAATCTTCTTTTTATCAAATGGCTGAAGAACAAACATGAAATCAAGTAGGCTTCATATGGAAGCTTTCTTTGAAAAGCATTTACATAGATATGTCATGCACACTTAACTACAATCTGAAACACTAATAACCAATCATTATAGAATTACAGTTCTCCACTTAGTCTACCTTCTGACTCTCTCTCTTTGCAACTCCATTTTAAAAAAATGCTCTAACCCTCAGAATGCTGTCTTTGTCAGTTGTCTTGCTTGTTCAATAAATGTATAATAAACAAAACCAATGCTCTAGTCTAGGGCATATATAATTATAGCTATATTCTTTTAAGAATATCTCTCCATTCCTTAAATGAAGCTACCATTTAATGAAGTAAATACCTAAGTCTATTTGAGTAATAGACTATTTTTCCCTTAACACTGACAGTCTGATTGGAAAATAATCATTTTTATTTCTGACTCATTTTTCGGAATTCCTATAAGGAAAACAATGATCAAAAACATTATAGCTGCTTTGCAGGATCCTTTGCTAGAAATAATTTAGAATGAATCCAATTTTGTGCTTTCTTTCAATGATGTGATTTATGGGCTTCATGTGAGAAGACAACTTGCTTGGATTCCTATGTTACTCATTGGACCCAATCATTTTACCTTTAAGCTCTCTTCAGCTAAATAAATACTCAGAACGTTATTGCTCACATTATAGTGATGTGTGCAGCTATATCATTTGCATTGATTTTACTGATTCTTAAGAATAAATTGGAAGGGAAGGAAATTACAGTCTTAAAATAACTGTTTCTTCATCACAAAACAAGATTTTCATCACAAAACAAGATGTATCCCAAGGAGTAAAGGAAAAATCCGATGATGACTATATTTCTTTTCTTTCAGCCAAATTCTTAATTGTCCCTCTTCCTGCTTCAATTTTCTCATAAATTAGGCACTTTATTCTTGGTTCCATTTTGTTCTTTCATGTATGCATTATTTTTCTATGTATTTCATTCTCTATTTAAAAGATATCAGTCTTATTCATTCATCTTAGTGAATGTGGTCATTTTTCTCTATATTAGCAACCATTCTTAATTTTCAACTGTTAGATAAGATGCCAGGATGTATACATTGTCATATAAGATCACCTTTCCTGGTTATACCGTGTAGTCATGTCTCTTTTGCCAAGCTTTCATGTAGAATATTTTCATATTCTGTATTCTCTGAAAATAATCAGGAGAACAGTACATTGGCAGTTTTATTATCTCTGTATAAGCTGATGTCAATTCAGCAAATATTTTTTGATTATCCAGCTGGCAGTAAACATAATTGAAATACAGAGATATGTGGTAAATAGTCTGTGCACACAAGAAGTGTGCAGTCTGACCCAGTAGGTTATTTTGTTTTGTGTTTGCCTGTTCTGGTCACTTGTGATCATAAATGAAAATGTTTGACTTGTAAGATCTGTTCTCCAAAAAGTTATTTACAGTAGTCAAATAATACCTTTATACAATTAAAAAATCTAGAAGAGCTATTTCTCCCATCCTTTATGATTTTTAATTCCATTATTATTTCTACTGAAGATTGCCTTAAACTTAAAATTGCATTTAACAAGTGGAGTCAAAAGAAGATCTATATTTTAACCCTCCCTTATGAAAGATACAGAACAAACTTTTCAAATGTAATTTGAGGTTTTACTCTGAACCATTTAAAATTATACGGATTATTACCTTTTTAACAGAAAACAAATTATAGTCAAGTTTAGATTTACATATGCAGCAATTATGTAAGTTTATCTCAGTGGGTTCACCTGGTTTTAAGATTTCACCTCATCTCCACTAATTCGATCTTCTTTAGTTTCTGCCCAGTGGCAATATTTAATTCAGTAAGCCTATTTTCTTTTCTATTGCAACTCTTCTATTTCAGACTGTCCTTTTCCACAGTACCTTACTGCATTTTTTGGACTATAATAAAACATATTTTTAAAATATTTCTTCTGTTTCCTATAGCAGTTCCATCTCAGGAGGAGATAGTTCTTCTAAAGTTTCCTAAGTAGATACTCTTCCTCATAACAATGGAGGATTCCAAAGGTTTTGCAGTTTTCCTGAAAAAAAGAAGTACTCATTCAGCATTGGCTTCAAGTCCCATAAGAGTTGAGAACAATTCTACCAAAATCATATGAAGGCACTTCTAAGTTCCCTAAAGACTGAAATCTAGGTGATGGATAGTGAATTCCAGCGTCCTGTGATGAGTAGAGGGAGAACGGCAGATATAGCTTGAAACTTCAGGTCTGAGCAGTCCATATGTTGACTAGATTCCCTGGGGAATCAGTATTTCTGGTTACTAAGATACTGTATGTCTGTAGCTAATCCAGGTAGCCCATGTCATGATGGGTCTCTAATTTCTAGAACTAACTTTACACTTTATGACCAATCTGTGATTTTACACTAGTACTAGCACTACAGGAAGAGAGTAAGGCTGAGGCATGGCTTATGAAGCCTATGCAAATATCCAAAACAAGATGAAACTATGTGGACCAAGATGAGAAGATCCTATTTACTGTCTTTGGCTTCAAAGCATCCCTGTTTTATGCTGTGGGCTGCTGCCTAAGTTTTTACGTGAAGAAAGAGTTTAATTGCTAAAACGTTTTTGACTACCATTTAATTAGTCCAAAACTTCATTTTATTTTTTAATTTTTAAACTTTTTTATTATTAAAAAAATTTTAAATGTTTATTTATTTTTGAGGGGCAAGGACAGAGTGTGAGTGGGTGAGGGGCGGAGAGAGAGGGAGACACAGAATCCGAATCAGGCTCCAGGTTCTGAGCTGTCAGCAGAGAGCCTGACGCAGGGCTTGAACTCACGATCTCTGAGATCATAACCCAAGTGAAATTGATCGCCCAACCTACTATGCCACCCAGGCGCCCCCAAAACTTCATTTTAAAGGAGAGTAGTAGGGGCGCCTGGGTGGCTTAGTCGGTTTAGCGTCCGACTTTCGCTTAGGTCATGATCTCGCGGTTCGTGGGTTCGGGCCCCGCGTCAGGCTCTGTGCTGACTGCCAGCTCAGAGCCTGGAGCCTGTTTCAGTCTGTGGCTCCTTCTTTCTCTGACGCCCCCCCCCCCCCCCCCCCCCCCCCCGCTCACACTGTCTCTCTCTCTCCTAGAAATAAATAAAACATTAAAAAAAAATTAAAAAAAAAAAAACTAAAGAAGAGTAGTAATGGAGCCACATGAGAACCCATGTCTACTTATTTTTATCTTTTATTTTTTTTTTAAGTTTATTTATTTTGAGAGAGACAGAGCGAATGTGAGGGGGGCAGGTGCAGAGAGAGAGGGAGGGAGAGAGAATCATAAGCATGCTTTGCACTGTCAGCACAGAGCCCAACACAGGGCTCAAACTCAAGAACTGTGAGATCATGACTTGAGCTGAACTCAAGAGTTTGATGCTCAGCCTACTGAACCATCCAGGTGCTCCCCACCCCCACCCCCGTGTCTACTTATTTTTGGACCAGAGATTGTTTCCCTCTCAGAGTCACTTCTTTATACTGACATTTTATGAAGATTACTCAGCTCTCAAGGTAAATGTATATATTGAGTAACATTTGAATTTACATTACATTTACTTAAATTAGCATTCAAATTTAAAATAAAGTCTAAATTTCAAACATTTCCCCCTGTATTTATGTGTTCCCAATTCTGCAATGATGTGATACCAAGATTGGTAATCAAAAATCCTTAAATCCCAAAAATGGTTTTAATTCTTTTTCCTCCATGGTTGCCTCCGTGCTAGTTTTGTGAGTGAGAGTCTTCCAAGAGGCTGAGAAAAGTAATTTCATTAAGACATAATGTCTGATAGAAGATATTTGTTATAATGATCATCTAAAGCAGAATCTCAACTCAAGTGCCATTGGTCAATGTGTATAGAACATTATTCAGGAAATTGCTTGATTGGGAGATGGTAAAGGAAGGAAAAGATAAATACCTGTAAATGAGAAAATGTGAAAATTCTGATCAAAGACAGACACTATTTTAAAACAGGCAAGGCAGCAGAACAGTAAAGAGAGCTATGTCAGGGCTTTTTGAACCACCCTGTTAGAAGGATCCAGACTCCCTTCATTACACAGCCTTATTCTTGTTTCCTCTTTCAGGGTGCTGACTGATACCTGAAGTTATGTTATTAATTTTGCATCTCCCTATACAATATGCTTCAGAAAAACAGGAATATTGTTGATCTGTTTATTTCAGAACTATAAAGTATTCTCAAACCAGAACAATCCTTGACACATACGTAGGCACTTAATAAATACTTACTGGATGGGTGGTTGGAAGGATGGATAGATGGATGGACAGAAAGATAGATAAAATATGTGAACTGAGCCTAAGAAAGAACCAGAGTTGTGTAGATTTATTTTTTAATGTTTATTTATTTTTAAGAGAAAGAGAGACAGAGTGTGAGCAGGGGAGGGGCAGAGAGAGACGGAGACACAGAATCTGAAGCAGGCTCCAGGCTTTGAGCTGTCAGCATGGAACTTAACGCAGAGCTCAAACCCACGAACTGTGAGACTGTGACCTGAGCTAAAGCTTAACTGACTGAGCCACCCAGGCGCCCCCTGGGTAGATCTATTTTGACAAAAATAATTTCCTGGAACATAAAATTTGAAATTAAATGGCCACCCAGGCAGGATGAGGTTAATTTCAATGAGATGATCACCAAGGAGGCCAAAATTTTCTCTATTGCAGGGCACCATCTTATTTTCACTTTTAATGGCATTTTTCTTCATCTGAACCTATTCTTTTTCACTTTTTTGCTAAAAAGGCATACTCAAAATTTACAAATGTATTTTTAAAAGTAAAGAATTTAATATTGTGTTTAATAAAAAAATGTAAGTTAGATTAAAACTTTTTCTCTCCCCTTGTAAAGTGCTTCCCAACTTCTGCAATGTTTTCACTATGCTCTCTTTCCTTTGTTTAAACTGCTTTCATAAATTCTGCAGAATGGGAAGCTGTCCATTAAATCTTTTGGTCCTTTTTGTCATTTTCCATAAAAGTTATGGTTTGTGATTTTTTGCGTGTGATGTCAGAGTCTAATCAACTATAACATAAGCCAAACAGTCAGCCTTTGCTGTGGGCAGACTTTTTACACTCATGGAAAGTCAGTATAATAGATATGACATTGCAAGCTCACAAGGTGTTTACCATTTATGAAGGATATATATCTCATGCTTAAATCATCAAACTAACTTAGGGCTCACCCTTCACTATGGTCTTACTGAATGCAAATGCTTATCTTGAGCCAATATGAAATTTCCTGAAAAGAAGAGGCTACACTGATCGAAACTTCCCAGTTTTATAACTTTTATATATACTTCCCGGTATAGTTTCTCTAACAGCTTGCACTTTTAGAATGCGCAAAGTTCTAATTTTTTGAACTAACAATGTCCCTGCAGCTCCTGATGAAGTCTGCGGCTTCATTCCCCCTTGAAGGCATGTAGCTGTCAGTTTGGCAAGAGTCAAAGTCCAGTGCTCCAACCGCTACCTGCTTCTGGCCCCAGGAATTTCTGTCCCCTCCCCATATGGCTTGATTCTACATCCCTCCAGGGGACATTGGGCCAGCCTTCAAAACTTCAGACTTTCAGGGGCACGTGCAGCAGTGTACCTGGCTTGTTTCTCAAGGGGGCAAGAGGAAAAACTAAGAAGAATTTCACATTGATATACCCATATTTTTCATATGGGTATTTTCTGTTTTTCTCTCTCAACTTTTGATAGTATATTCTTATGTGTGCTGAGTATGAGGCTAAAAATTCCCTTAATCTTAAAATAAGTATGGCCTCTGAATTCTTTTTTGATTACAGGGTTCCCGGCAGCTTTTGTTGTAGCCTGGGCTTTGGCGCGAGCGACTCTGGCTGATGCAAGGTGAGTGAAAAAGAAGAGGTAAGGAGAGAACCTAAAATTTCCTAAGACTCAGTCTTCCTGCCTGGAATTTACACTGGCTGCTGTTGTGGACCACATTTCCCTTGATGGACGTCATGTAGGAAATTACCTTGGTGAACTTGTAGCCTTTGATACATTACCAGCAAGCTATCCATCCCAGAGGTCATGGGACAGAAAGACTTGCAGACCAGATTAGAATGCTTGACCTCCTTAGTTTGTAATATCGTTTAAAAACATATGGTGAGAATCAAGGGGAAGGAGATGGGTAAGTTAACACATTTAAGATATGATGCAAGCATGTGGAAGGACCACACTACTTGAGTTCCAGAATGGGCCATATTCAGATTTTCTCTCTCAATCTGTCCATGTCAGCCGTCCCTACTGATGGTGTGGTTATGAAGACCAGAGATGTGGTTGCAGCAAGGAGACTTGCACACAGAAGGTGCCCGGGGCCAATGACACCCATTTGCTTTCTCGTATTGATGAGAGGAAAGTGTGCTTGGTCATAGCTGTAGCTGGCCAGTTAGTCTGCTAAACAGCTTTGGGTTTTATTTGGGTTCCTTCCAAATAATATGTGGGCATGGGTTTTACCAACCAGTGGCTGAATTAGGATGTCAAGGATATTGAACACTTCCTGTCTATCAGAGATATTTTGTGTCTCTTATATATTTGGTATATCATGAATATATAGTGCCCATGTTATAGTGTTGTGTTTAACATGCATGGGCTCCACTCCTTACCTACTTATCTCTATTTGATGCAAACTACGGGTTTTGTCCATCCCATTTGGGTTTTTTTTGGTCTTTTATAGCATAATTAAATGTTTTCAAAAATTAAAACAAATGTACATTGGAAGTGGAATCCATTCTAGTGAATTGCTAAGATTATCAAGTAGCCTGGGGTTAATTTGAAGTAGCATATTATTATTTTTATTGTTTTAATGTTTATTTTTGAGAGGGAGGGGAGGGGCAGAAAGAGAGGAAGAAAGGATCTGAAGCAGGCTATGTGCTGACACCAGCGAGCCCGAGTTCGGGTCTCGAACTCATGAACTGTGAGATCATGACCTGAGCTGAAGTCCAACCCTTAATCAACTGAGCCATTCAGGAGCCCCTGAAGGACCATTTTAAAGTACAGCGCAGTGATGATGAATGATGGTAAAAGACCCTTTTTTTTTTTTTTAGACTTACACAGACCTGAGTTCAAATTTTGGTTTCGCTGCTATTAATTTTGAGACCATGGGAAACACACATGACCTCTTTGTACTTCACTTCTTAATATAAAACAGAGATAATAATGTATACATGACATTCGTAGAGATAAAACACTTAGCACAGAGCCTGGTAGCTGGCAGGCACTAAATGGGAACGTGATGAGGAAGAGTTCAAGTGTGGGTAACTTACAGGCCTCTTCTACTACTGGTTGGTTCTGTGACAACAGGTACACTACCTGGCCTCTCTGAGCCTTGGTTTTCTCATCGATCAAGTGCAGATAAAATGAATATTACTCTTCATGAGGTTATTGGAAGATTGAAGGAGAATCTATGTAAAATACTTAGGGTTTTGGAATAGGGTTTGGAATAATAAGTACTAAATATGTATTAGCAAGTATTATTCCCTTAATTATTTCATTAATTTATACCTATAGATAGTGTCTGATCAAAAATAATGTTTCTGTTATGTTATTCCATTAGAAAGCAGGACTTATCCTTTCATTGATCCTAGCTGATGATATTTATCCTATCAAGCCGGTGGAACCTTGATTCTGCTAAAGTTAGAGCTTAAATATGAAGCTGGTGAAGAGACGGGGGCCACCTCTTCCAAGTATTTATAGGTCCATTAGGATGGTTGGTGTTTTTTCAGTGACAATGACAACAAATTTGCATTTTATAAAGATCGTTACCAGCATACAGAGGAAAAATTGGAGAAAAGTAATAATAAAGATTGCAGCTAGCATTTTCTTAAAGTTTATTTATTTATTTTGAGTAGAGTGGGGAAAGGGGCAGAGAGGGAGGGAGAGAGAGAATCCCAAGCAGGCTCCACGTTATCAGAGCAAGCCCAACACAGAGCTCGATCTCACGAACCATGACATCATGACCTGAGCTGAAATCAGGAGTCAGACACTTAACCGACTGAGCCACCCAGGCACCCCCAGTAGCTAGCATTTTTGAATGATACCCACATTTCAGGTACTCTCTAAGGGTTCTGTAAATATTAGTTTAATTGAACATCATGCCAGCCCTATGAGACTGAGGCCAGAACAGTTGTAGCCAACATTGCACAGCCACAGTGGTAGAGAAGGAATTTGTCTAGACCATTGGGCTCCAGAGGCACTCAATAAATACTATGAGCAGAGTCCATGTTTCTGTTAAGATTAGTGGTATTTTTATTTTCCGTGGAGGAGGAGTTTTGTAAAGAGATTCCTTTTACATTGTCACTGACAGCTGCTCACTCCTCAGTAGTTTCCACCCCTCTGGTAATAAGGCATGCACAGTGGAAAATGCCCACTGTACACTGGACAGTTTTTCATGCCTTCATTCGATCTTCTCTTTGTCCTTCTACCACTTGTAGTTGTTTCCATTCTCTAAATCAGAAATAGTTTGTCACCTACCATGGACTTCTCAATAGTTCACACTTTTTGCTGCAATGTGAACTCATGCTTGGGCCTTGGTATTTGTGTAAACACACAGAGCTGTTTACTAGCACATTTTCTCTCATTCACATGTTACAACTACATCTGCGTTTCATGGTGTTCAGAAAGGAAAACCATAACTACAAGTACTCTGCCACTTCAATATGTTTGAAACGCACTATGCCGCCATGTAAAATCTTCCTTACCAAATTCCTGTAGCATTTTGTATGTATATTCTGTTATTTTCCCTACTATCTTATTTCTCTTGATGTGCATGTATAACTGTCACATTTGAAAAAAAAAAAAACCTATGAATTACAAACGGGCAGGAGTGAAATTCTCTGTTTTATAATAGAGAACTCTCCAATGCTTGCTAATCAGTTCTTACGGATCTATTTGGCCACTTTCCTCCATTTTCTAAGTGTTTCTGGAGCAAGATAAAGTTTGACTCAGTGCAAATTGTGAGTTACCAGGAGATGCATTTTCTCGTCCATTTGTTAATTGTGACCATTTCCCTTAGCCTCAGACTTCCACTTATAAAATGAAAATATTCTTGGCATTGAGTAAGGTTGTGAGTCTGCAGGGGTTGGATTTGAAAATCAGATGAGAGCCCATTTATGAAAGGGCTTTGTAAACTCCAACTTCTTTTTTTTTATTTTTTAATGTTTATTTTTATTTTTCAGAGAGCGGGATTGGCAGAGTGAGAGCAGCGGGGGCAGGGGTGTAGAGAGAGGGAGACAGAATCCGAAGCAGGCTCCAGGCTCTGAGCTGTCAGCACAGAGCCCAATGTGGGGCTTGAACCCATGAACCATGAGATCATGACCTGAGCTTAACTGACTGAGCCACGCAGGTACCCCTGTAAACTCCAACTTCTATGCAAACATTAAATTGGCTAATAATTGAGTGTTAATGTTATCAACATTATCATTATTGCTATATGTATATGGTGATATTGGAAATGTCAAAGAAAACTTATAGCATCTGCTATTTGATTTCTTGCAGGGTGGGTTGAGTCCGTAAAGAGGTACTAAATAATGCTAAATAATTTTACCCTGAGATGTGCAACCGTATAACTTAGCTTTGGAATTTTAGAGAAAGTAGATCATAAGGTATTTTTTGGTTCAATCCTCTCATTTGGGAGATGAGTAAAAGGCTCCCAGAGACATCAGGTTACATTTCAAAATCTATAGTCAGCCTGTAGCAATTTTGGCTCACTCATCTGTTCAGCAGATATTCCAAGCCTTGAGCACAGAAAGCAAGCAAATATATTCACAATGCATTTTATATTGAATTAGATAATTAGTTTTCTTAGCTATCTTGTATTCTTTCTTAAGAATCATAAACTGAACCATACACCATTAACAGTCATTTGTATTTTCAAGAAAAAAATAAGAATTGTACATATTATATTTGAGGCACCTTTAGGTGCATAATATTTCAAAAAATACAACTGATACTGAATATTGCTCTAAACAGTTGAATTAATGTCAAAAATGAAATATAAGTTAGATTCTGTAACTCTTCTGTGCAAGACATTTATTCCTGCCTTACATAGAATAAAATTTTGAATTTTATAGTGTCCTGATCTCATGATAATTGGGTTAAGGGGTCATTTTGTTTTTATTTTGCATATGAAATAAAACTGTGTTGTCACATACATGGCATGATTTCAAAGTTGCCTAACTTGATTTTTCACGCAATTCAGCTTGTCTCTAGATAGAAGGTTTTTGTGGGTTTTCTTGAGGGTAATCTGACCTACACAGAGTTCTCTGCTACAAAGTTCAGCTTTGGAGCCAGCTTAGAGCATCTACAAAGGATGAATGGGATCTCTGCTCCTGTCTCTAACATTTGAGATTTCTCTTTTTTTCTATTCTGGCCTTTCAAAACGAGAGCTCTGATTTTCTCTGTGGCCTTGCCTATGCGAGGTAAGCTGATCAGACTCTGTTTTGGAAGATCCTTTAAATGCTACTGAATACACAAAGGAGGTCCTACAGTTCTAAAATTCTATCAGAAGTTATTTGGCTAAGCTAGGGTAAGAAAATTGAGTAGTTTTGATTGGACAAATGAGCTTAGAAAGTGAGTATTTTTGTTTCTCTTTCTTTTTACTTAACAAAAGCAGAACCTTATTACCTTCTCCCGGCTCATTCAAAGGAGAGGAGACGCCAGCGGAAAAGTGGGACCATCTTGCAAAGGACTTGAAAGATAGCTTCTACCAGTTCTAGGAAACCTGCGTGGCTCCCAGGGCTTCTGAGACTTCCCCTGCTCTTATCCCATTGTGAGCTGTGGACACAATATAGGTGTCAGTACAGGTGCCTGGAGCTGTTCTGATGGAACAGAGCCTCTCTTACTCCCTATGTGGCTCCAGGGAGTCCTACTTTCTAGTCAGATCTTTGTGCCTCTTACTCACCACTCAGAACTGCGTTTTTACTGGCATCCATTGCTGCATTTTAGAGAGTGTCAACATTTAATTCGTGAAGTCTGAACAGAGGGTAGTTTCTGAGCCATGTTAACAAACACAGCATGAGCTGGGACACTGAAGAATTAATGAAAAACAAGGATTAATAGCATTTTTTCTTAAAGATCTGAAATCTCAGTTGCCTTTCATAGCAAAGGGTAAGTTTGAAGCTTTGACATTGAAAACTATCAATGTCAAGTTTTTCCTGTTTTTAGAGGTAGCTGGTTTTGACCTAGTTCCAAGTAGAAGGTTTTTTTATAGAGCTGAAATTGTACAACTGAAGTGCAGTGTGTTAGGAGACACCATGATGAAATGCCATTGAGGCAAATAAAGAAGATTGTGAAGATATTACCAAAAGTCAAAGCAAGAGGAAAATTTATGGAATCCAAGAGTCTTGCAGCTACTGAATCATGTTCAATTTGTGTTCATACAATACATGCTCCTTTTCATATAGTAGGAGGAGTTTTTAGGTAGTGTGATGGACATTGTGCACAGCTCAGTCACACTTATCCTTTGTGTGTAGCTGAATACGTGAATGCAAATAATGCTAGGAAATATTTAATAACATGTGAGCGCAAAATTTCCCTGTCTTCGATTTCCATGTTATTCAAACCTCAAGTCCGTTGACTTTGCAGATTGCAGTGTAGCAGGGTCAGGATTACACTTTGGTTTTGGGGTCTAGTTGATTCTACTGTCGTACATGCTTCTAACAGAATGCTGTGCTACTGAGCTGTCTTGGCACAGATAGGAAAAGAAATAAAAAATATACTGTTAAAAGGAAAGATGCAGTTGCAGGACAGACTATACATTGGATTTTTCTTAAGCAGGGAAAAGTAAGATTATAATATTTGGGTTTGTATATGCATAAGAAAACACTGGAAACATATACAATAAAGTAATAAAAGACATGATGCATAAGGAGAGAGACGGGCAGAGGAAGGTGAACATGGGAAGAACAGACATGTCTCAACGGCTGTCTATAGTTTGATTTTTCAACTGAGAATATATTGCCTGTATAAAAATATTAAAATTTAAAAATATATAGTCATTACATATATACTGAAAATGTTTTACCTTCAAGGGATAGTTGAAATAACTTTTTAACTTGTTCATTAATTTAAAAGTAACTTTTTGAGGTTTGTCATCTAGAGTTAAAAAATGATCAATATATCCTTAATATTTTTAAATAAACTTTCACGTATTGTGCCCACAATTGATGCTAGGTTTTGTCTAAGGAGAAAGAACCCAAGAAAGAAGCTTTTATTCATGTATCTTTAATATATAAAAACTGTTTAAAATGCTACATTAAAGTTTCAAGCAAAACTAGTTTTTTTTCAACACTGTTCTATTTATTCCAATTTCACCCAATCGCACATCAGCCAGGGTGAGACTGAGTTAACTTACTTTGAATTCAATTCAATCCAAAAATATGTGTCCACTACCTGCATGCTCTATATTGCTGTAGGCACGTATCCTACATCAGAAAATATGAACAGTGATCCCTGTTCATGTAGAAACTTAAGTTCTATCCGGGATGGGAGTGAAGCAAAAGATAAATGAATAAGTGAAACAAATAGGTAAATCATATAGCATTTTTATTAAGTACTGCTAAAAACAAGCTTTTTACAGTCCAAGATAAAATGGATTTTATGCTGATATAAAATGAGCATTGTCAAAGATCTTTTAACTCACTAATTAGTGAAGGAACCAATAAGATGTTATAAGTGGTACAAAGAAGAAATATAGGAATCACCTGCTTATATTTAACAAAATGAACACTGAAATAACTTTATAAATACATGCAAAAATTCAGTCTTAATAAGACAATAATCAGTCATATTCCACCGAACACACTAGTTTTCACTTCTAGGCATAAAAATCACTTGCTTCTGGTTTTCTGATGCTTTTCTGTCAACAAAGATTATTTACATTACTGTCAGTTTTTTATTTTTAATGTTTATTAATTTTTGACACACACACACACAGAGTGTGATTGGGGGTGGGTGGAGGGAGAGGGAGACAGACTCCAAGCAGGGTCCAGGCTCTGAGCTGTCGGCACAGAGCGGGACATGGGGCTCAAACTCATGAACTGTGAGATCATGACCTGAGTTGAAGTCAGATGCTTAACCGACTGAGCCATCCAGGCGCCCCTTGTCAGTATTTTATTGCATTTCGATAGGTAAGAATGCTTTGCATTATTGTCAGTATTCTACAGCAAGTGGAGTTATAACATAGAATTTCTGGAACTGCTGAAAGCGAGAAGACGTTCTCACTCCAGTGATAAAAATGAAGTATCAGGTGCACCGCATTTAAAAGACAATGATTTTTTGTGGCTCTGGAACCGTGGTTTTGACTCTTGTTATTATAAAAATAAAGAATATTTATATTATAATGCTCTCAGTTCATCGTATGGAAACCAAGACCCATTACACATTTTTTTTTAACTGGTTTGGGTGTTTTATGAGATTTTTTTTTTTTTTTGGTCTACTTATTTTTTAATCAAAAGTTTGGGAGTGGAGTGTTTGGTAAAACTTAAAATGCTACTTAATTCTCACTGCCTATTTGCTTGTCATTTTATTCATGGAAGTTCTTTTTCATGTCTCAGATGCTGGGAACTTAGTGCTGGAAACATCAAGTGGATTTACCAAGCCCCAATCTTAGCAGCTATCGGGGTGAGTGTAAAAAGCCTGTGTAGTGGAAAGAAAGGAATAGAATGCATAATTAAATTGCTGCTAAAACTGAGAGAACCTGTGTCTGTCACTTTTTTCTACAAAGGTTTAGGAGACCCTCACATTATAGCAATAGCTGTTGGGAGAGTCTGGGCTGGGATCGTACCCTATTCGTGGCTGATGCTGGGATCCATGCAGAAAGCACAGACCTCGCTTTAGTCAGCTAGCACGTGGTTCAGTTCCAGTGCTTCAAAATATCTGTGGCCATTTACACGTTCAAGGAGTTGGAAGATCCTAAAACTCTTCTGTCTTTACATCTGTTATATTATAGCTCCACTTTACAGTTCTGATCACCTGACAGTAAGGAGGTCAGGAGGAGAAGACATAGCAGGAGGACAGAGGAATTATTGGGAGAAGGAAAAATGATAGGATGATTCATTAGAAAGCATTGACGGAACCTCTTCCTTGGCGTACTGTCTGAGTGGTTAAGAGGATGCTGTGAGGAGACATATCCCACAGAATCCTGGCTGATATGGAATTGGAAGGACTGGAGTAGGCAATACGTATTGCATGGACTTTATCTGCCTATAGTATTTCAGCTGCATATTATATCTGGTTTGTGAAAGAAAACAAAGTTACGCTTCTTTGTGTCAAGCCAAAATGTTTACTGTTGACTTCCCTTGAAGGCTTTATCTCATTAGCTTCTCTGTGGTTTGATCAAGAAATTATACCATCTTAGGTTTTCTTGTATTAATTCAAGATTATAAACATCTTAATAAAATGACTTATGTTTCCATATTAACCATCAAACCATTGGAAAGTAAAGTGGGAGCCTAGTTTGTAATGATTTTTTGGTTTTTCTTTGCTCTCCAGTTTCTTACTTTTCTCATTTTGTTCCTGTAGCACAGTGCATCACCCGGTTTGTCATTATGCTGCCACACTGGATGTAGAGGGATGGCCATTAATGGGTCTGAGGTTTCATAGATCTACCCAGAGACAGAGAAAAGCTTGTTTATCTCATAGGAAAAATGCAGAAAGGAAAATGGAGAAGATCGAAAAGGACTCATTTCAAAAGCCCATTGACGTAAATATTTATAGGGGGAAGTAAAATGTAGACCCCTTTTAGAGAAGCCAGTTTCTTGCAAAAACAGCGTGTTAGCAATGTAGACTGGATTCTGTGTCGTGGGAGAAGCTATAAACGGACTGTGGGTAAATGAATGAATTACTTACATTTATAAACTCTTATCATTTTAATTTTAATGGAGGGCTGCTTTCTTAGTCTAGGGATAAACCACCCCATCAAACCGTCTAGTGATTAAGTGTATCCCTGCGGGAACATGAATGAACTTAAAGATACAAATTGACTTTATAAAATAGGGTATAGTGTTTACCACGCTGATTTCCCTTTTATCCGCTAATACTCTATCCTCATCTGTGCTTCCCTGCCTTTCATTTTCTTTCCTCCTGGTTCCTCCTCTGCTGGGTTTGCTCATCTATTACTTACCATCCTCTTTTTAAGGGATAAATCAGGTCTTACTTTTAGTGTCTTCAGTGCCTTATACTAGAATTGTGAAAAAAGAGATAATTAAACATTATATGAAAATGTAGATGAGTTTACGAACAGCAGGTTTGAGTTTTCATTTGATGAAAAGAAAAGACCTGTTAAAGCTCTAAGAGATCCTTGCAAAATTAATAACTGAAGCAGAGGACAGTGGAGAAAAGTAAATCATAGGATGCCTTCCATTGAAACCATTGATTAAAATTTTTTTAATGTTTATTTATATTTGAGAGAGAGAGAGAGAGAGAAGCACAAGTGGGGGAGGGGCAGAGAGAGAGAGAGGGAGACACAGAATCCAAAGCAAGATCCAGGCTGTCTGCACAGAGCCTGACCAGGGGCTGGGACTCACAAACTATGAGATCATGGCCTGAGCCGAAGTGGGACTCTTACCTGACTGAGCCACCCAGGCACTCCAATAACCACTGATTATTATTTTTTTTTTTATCCAAAGCTTTGTGTTTATATTTTTTGTTTGTTTGCAGATTGTAGTTACATCATCAAGATGGATGAGAAGTTAATTGCTGAGTTTTCTAAATTGAAAAGTAAAACAGTAAAGTTAGGTGATTATAGATGTTCTAGAAGATTCCCCATTGGGGAAAGAGAGCTAGAAATGATGGTACACTCAATGCATTTTGAAGAAAATTTAGGTGGAAGCCATCTTCATCTTCTTGAACTAAAATTATGCCAGCTCCAAAGCAAGAATTCTTGAATGTTTTTCCAATATCACAACATCCATTTAATCTCACAAATCAGAGAAGATTCAAGACCACCTTTCTGTTTGCTGAGTGACCTTTTTGTTTTAGTATTACAATTCAGTCATCACAGTTCCCGTTAAGATTCTCTCATTTTAGGGGCGCCTGGGTGGCTTAGTCGGTTAAGCGTCCGACTTTCGCTTCGGTCACGATCTCGCGGTTCGTGGGTTCGAGCCCCGCGTCGGGCTCTGTGCTGACTGCCAGCTCAGAGCCTGGAGCCTGTTTCAGTCTGTGACTCCCTCTCTCTCTGACCCTCCCCTGCTCACGCTGTCTCTCTCTCTCTCTCCTAGAAATAAAATTAAAAAAAAAAAAAAAAAAGATTCTCTCATTTTACTGTAGAGCCAGTCTGTAAGGGAAGAGGTGTGCCCTGAACACCATCCTTGTGTTCTGAGTGATGTGTTCCTTCCTCTCAGCTCCTCAATGTCCTGAAGCTGGGAAAAATGACAAATAATAGCAAACACTGTATAGTGCTTACCAGGAAGTGGGAACTGTTTTAAGTGCTTTATTTATGGAGATTTATCTAATCTTCTAAAAGAGGAAACTGCCCGAGGTCACACAGCTAGTAAGTGGTGGAGTGGGATTGGAACTTCAGGGTCCGTGTCTCTACCCAATGAACTCCTTTCACTTATAATAAAATCTAACGTTCCCGATAGTCTAGAGAAGCCCCGTCACTCATGCCTGCACTATTTATATGCAGTACCATTGTTTTCCATTCAGATCCTTGAACTTGTCCACCTCTGCCTCCCCAAGGCTTTCTCACACTCTGCTGTGTACTTTTGGAGGGCTGGGATGTGCTTTCTTCTCTTCCTCACTTTTAAATGCCACTTCTTCATTGTGGCCTCCTTGACGCCTCCAGTCTAAATTAGGTCGCACTTGTTATATCCCATAGGGCAAGGTGAGGTTTTTCTTTCTCAAGATCAATGTATAAAGCTCCTAACTGTTAACTGTCCGTCTTGCCCACTAAGCTGGAAAGTTTATGTGATCAAGAACCATACTTTTCCTCAACTTCTATATATCTAGTGCCTAGCAAGTTTCTGGTGCGGAGTAGCCACTCGATATTTGTTGAAAAAATAAAACTGGTGTGCAGAGTAGAAGCCCTGAGGAGCTGCTAAGAGGGAAGTGAAATGAGAGCACAAAGGGAAGTTCTGTGTAATTACAGAAACTCTGAGTCCATTTCATGTGATCTTTTCATTTCCAGAGAAGCCAACAAGAGCCCACGCAGATAAAGGTCACACAGCCCGTGTGACAAAATAAGACCGAGCACATTTTTGACCATGTTCTTATGCCTTGCCCCCCAAGACTTGTCAAGATTGTCTCTTGAATTTATGGGAAAAAGTTCTTTCAATTTTTAAGGCAATATTTGTAGTTTTTTATTTATTCACTTTGGGTAAAATACTTGTTTTTCAGACTTGCATTGCATGTGGCAGGGTTTTATGTAATGAGATATGCTCGTTATATGCTATCAGAAATTATTTGCCAAGAATTTTAAATATGAGTTGGATCCCTCACTTGATTGTGGCTTTGGATACTGGAATAGCAAAGATGCTATTAATTGGAATTTTGTGTCTCTGGGAGTAAAATCTGATAAAATGTGATCGGAAGGTCTAAGCTATATATGAAGCAAACTGAATTTAAGAGAACAAAGGAGTTTGTAGACAATAAGCACTTAAAGGTTCTAACTTGAAGACGTCATATCGAGAGAATCGAATTTTAGAGACAATCACAGACGTCAGTACACATGTAGGAATAACCACTTGATTTTGGAATCACAGAATCTGAAATTACAGCAATTGTTGTTGACTTTGTTTTATTCATAAGTGTTAACGCCATATTTAAAAGAACTAGAGTCATTAGAAAACATTCGTTTTTTGGTCTGAAAATAAACATCTGCCAATAACACAATTTCTTATTCACCTGCAACACTATGTTGACTTGAGGGTGATTTTTAAAAAAATTTCTTCTGTATAACATCAAACTATGGGAGGAATACTTCCGGGTGGACAGCAGAGCATGGAGCATGGTTTTGGTCCTGGGCCCCCCAGAGCGTCATCAGAAGAAAGAAGAGAGGAAGCAGCGGGCAAGGCAGCAACGTCTGGAAGAAGTGGTAAAGGTGAAGTTGGCCGATGTAATCCATCCTGACCAAGCGGGCCATGGCCCCCTGAGACAGGGGGACCTACGTTTCCACAGGACACTAAGGGACCGACTCCTAACCCTGGAGACGCTGTGGGGCAAGGCTGCTTACTGCGAGCTCCCAAGGCAAAGAAGGATGGGTCAGGTCTAGCAAACCCGATATTCTTCCCACACTTGCTCATTAAATACTTCAGTTTGTCTCACTGGGGCTGGAGAGAGTAAAGGGGAGAAGAGACGTGCACATCAGTTGAGCGGGCACCCCCTGGCAGGGACCGTAGGGACCAGGAGAAAGCACCCCTCCCCCGCACGTATTCAAAGACACAGATGAAAATTGCAGGGGCCCAAAGATGGTTTTATAGATGTTTTACTACAGTGGACTTTCCTAGACATAAATTCTGACTTCTGTCTCTGACGATGTCTTTCTATGATAGGCACGGAGGAGAGAACATTCTACATCAAGGGGGGAGATGCTGATTTCTCAGAATATAACTAGGGCTTGCGGAGGGCCGATCTCATGCGATCAATGATTCATTCACTCATTTAACAAATCCTGATTAAACACCAAGGACTTTGCGGGTGCTGGGTGAGGCAGTGGCCGTGATATGGTGAGGAGACCCTCCTGAAGCTTAAGCAGAGTGGGTGAGGCAGACGTTTAAACGTGACAAGTGCCCTGGTGAGGTTGGAACAGCTTCTGGGAAAAGCTGACATTCAGCCTGAAGCCGAGGAAAATGAGCTAACTTGGTGCGGGAAGGGGGGAAAGGGAGTGAGGGAACGATCCCGGCAAAGAGGACTCTGGGAACAAAGTCTCAGAGATAGCCTGAGCGGCCAGAGGTTTCCAGCCTGAAAGTTGGAGTTCTTTGTTTCCAGTCATCTGTGGTTCACTTTGAATCCGTCTTTAAATTTTTAATTGAGAACGAATCTAATGTTTATATTTGCGTTATTTAAAAACTGTATTTGCATAAAATTGATTCCATGTGTGACTGGGTTTAATGCTGCTGCGGGGTCATTTTATTCACCGCAGTTTTGGGTTTTCTTTCTTCGTTTTATCTATGCTTTGCCTGAGGTAGATCTTAAAGCAAAATTTTACAAGAAGTTCACGTGAGAGATACATGGACTCTCCAGTTTTCTCTTAGAACTGTATCTTCATCTTTTAAAATAAAATTTAGGGATCTCACCGGGAAGCTTCTTCTTGGCCTTGGTCTTTTCTCACTCCATTTGCCCGGCGTAGAATGTCATTTCTGCACCTGCAGACGCAGGTCTTCCTTGAGCACAGGGACTTCTCCCTCTTATGGTTTTATTGATTTGTTCAATTCATCATGATCTTTTCTACAGAAAGAGAAATTAATGTGCACGACTCGGCAATTGCACATCGTCCACGCAGGCTTCTCTCCCCTCATCATCCGGGCGGGTCTCTGTTCTCTACCTCCCACGTGGGAGCTCCTCAGGGGGCTTCCACTCTGCAGGATGTATTTTCCAGCTTTGTTACATCCCCTGTTTGCTGTTTCTAATATTGATTTTAATACTTGATTATATTTTAGATTCTTTACAATCTTTTCTTAATCCACCCTGCTCTTTAAGAAGCTTCTGTATCCATCTCAATCTGCAGTAACTCAGCTCTATTTTATGGGCAGTATGGTGCAGGGGCTGAGACCATACACACAACCAGGCGGTAAGGGCCTCATCAGGCCTCTGACACTTGCTGGCTGTGTGACCGTGAATATTTTGTATAAGGTGTTACTTCGTTTCCTCCTCTGTGAAATGGGACAGTAATATGCCTATCTCCTGGGAAGACTAAGAGTCACTTCACGTAATACACGTAAGTAGTCAAGAACTTAGTTTCCCTAATTACTCTATTCTATACCTTCTTAAATTATTCAGAGTGATTATTTGGAATTTCATCCACCTATTGCTGCAGGTATCAGTATATTTTGTTAACTGATCTTTTAAGGCAGCACGTTTTACTCCATCTTAGTTTTTCTTAATTCTTTCCATAATCCACTTCCTTGCCTTCGATGCATCATTTTCATTATTAAGCTGACGTATTGGATGTGTATATTTTCTTTAGTCAAATATTTGGGAGTTTTCAGTATTTATTTAGTGGGGTCTGCTGGCCTGAGAACAGAGGTCCTGGTCATGAGCTTTTTAATGTGGATGAAGTTTAAGGTTGGCCCTGCCTAAAGCCATCTACAATTCTTCCTTTTCCAGAAGCAGGAAATGACAAGTGACAGTCCCCTGCTGACATGGCTTCCTTCCACAGCTCTGCCAGCTTCGGTTCCTGCCACTTTGTCCTTTGCAGGGTAACTACACAGCATCGCTTTTCACCATTTGACTCCCAGCTGCACTGTATGGCCCAGGGCTGTGGTCGTAGGGAGGGTAGAATGAATGAGGCCCGACAGAAGTGGCTATTCACAGAGTAGCACTCATGTGACATCTGTGAGCTGCTTTCACCCTCTTATTGAAAAAGATTTTGTGTCTTAGGGCGCCTGGGTGGCTTAGTCGGTTGAACATCCGACTTTGGCTCAGGTCATGATCTCACTGTTCTGGAGTTCGAGCCCCACATCAGGCTTGCTGCTGTCAACACAGAGCCTGCTTTGGATCCTGTCCCCCTCTCTCTGCCCCTCCCCCACTCATGCTCTCTCTTCCTCTCTCTCTCTCTGAAAAAATAAACTTTTTTTTTAAAGAAAAAGATTTTATGTCTTGAGCCAGGTGTTGCAATGGGCGAGATTCTCTGCTCTCGTGTTTTGCATCTTTTTATCTTCCTGAAGAGAAGATATAAGATAGTGGTTAAGAATTCACGGTACAGACACACATAGACCTGGGTCAGATTCCCCTGATAGCTGAATAGCCTAGGTCAAATCAACTGATCTCTTTGGACTGGAGTTTCTTCGTAATAGAGGGACATATGCTTGTCCCATATTCATGTGCGCATTTAAACTCAGGTGTTGACAAATGGCAGCTCTTACTGGCCTGAAAATCCTTTTTCAGCCAGCTCATAGCGCCCCTGTGTCCTTCCTCCAGGCTTTGGGGCTCAAGACTCAGTCTCTAGTTCTTATAGAAAGTGTGACATTAGTGAGAGGTAAGAGTATAGTCAGTGGTAGGATGACAATGGAGGTGGCAGGGAGCTAAGGGCTGATGGAGATGATCAGCTGGACCCGGGAGGGGGGCACACGATTCACCCCATAACCCAAATTCTCCAAATTCCAGAAACTGTTGAAAACTCTGCAAGACAATTTATCTCCAAGAATCCAGAACTTGGGGTGCCTGGGTGGCTCGGTCGGTTAAGCGTCCGACTTCAGCTTAGGTCATGATCTCACAGTCTGTGGGTTCGAGACCCACGTCAGGCTCTGTGCTGACAGCCAGCTCAGAGCCTGGAGCCTGTTTCAGATTCTGTATCCCCCTCTCTCTCTGACCCTCCCCTGCACACACTCTCTCTCTCTCTCAGAAATAAATTTTAAAAATACATTAAAAAAAAAAATCCAGACCTTGGTCGGTCCTGTCTTCCAGCTACTGGTCTGCCACTAACACAGCCCACTCGTGGCAACCCACATTTCTGTTACTCCTAAGTAGTGGCACTTTCTCGACTGCAGGCATCTCCATGGTTTCAGGCTTCTGCTTCCTTAATACCCTAGGCCTGGAGATCTTTTCTTTTCCTTCATTTTGGATCTTTTCTCTGATTCGTGCGGCCCTTAGGCGTAAAAGGGCTTATCTGACCAAAAGTCCTCTCTGCCATTTTTAACACCAGAACTTGATTGTCTCTGGGGGTGCTCACACCTGTAATATTTCAAATTTAATCTAACTGCCTCACTGGGGCATTTTCTTAGACAGCATCATATCTTTGTGTGTGTCTGAGAAGCATTTTTAAAACTTTTATTGTTTTAATTGAAGTGTAATTCACATACAGTGTTATAATATTAGTTTTCAGCATACCACATAATGGTTTAACAATTCTGTACATTACTCAGTGCTCATCCAGATATGTGTGCTCTTAATCCCTTTTATCAGTTTCATCCATGCCCCACACCACTTGCTTAAAAAAGAAAAACACCTTATATACTTCACCCAATACTTTTTATATATCATAAGAAGGACAGCATTCCCCTAAGAACTCTAATAGTCCTCTCCCTAAAGTATATACAGAAGCTGGGAATTCATTTCAAACAGGGCACGTGGTTCCATATACACAGTAACTATCATCCTTTCTGCTGCCCGTCTGCCGCAGGACTTCGTCTGAACGTTGGTTTGGAAATTCCCCGTGGATTCTGCAGACCGTCCTGCGGCATTTTCAGTTTCCAGTGCTGCTCACACTCTTTATCTCTGTGTTTTCATGAGGGCTGCTCAAGAATCACTAGCTGTCCAGTATCTTATCTCGGAGTCCCTCATTCACATTTACGGAATGGGTAGTTTTTGGGTTTTGAATACAAAGAAGTTCAATTTGTATAAATGTTTATAAACATCTTGATGGCTAATTCAATAATTCTTTGTATTATTACCTTCTCTTTCAGCTCAATTTTATTCTGTTTCTGAATACGGTTAGAGTTCTGGCTACCAAAATCTGGGAGACCAATGCAGTTGGGCATGACACAAAAAAGCAATACAGGTAATTCCAGGACAGGCATCCACCAGAGGAAATATTTTGGTTACTATTTAGAGTAAAGAACAGGTATTGACTGATGGGAAATGTCTCTGAGAGATAAATTTATGAATACACATTTTCATTTGGTTTAGTTACGCAGTTTATCAGAAAAGCATATATACTTTAGGGAAATCGAAGTAGTCTAAAACCTTCCTAATGTGCTTACATTTTAGGTGTTCATTAAGGATAATTTTTTTTATCTGTTCTTAGAAGATTGGGATTTTCCCATATATGATGTGACTACTCAGAAAATCTCTTGTTGATGATCTTAGCAGACAAGTTTATATTTTCTTTTCTGTGTTCATTTTTTTATGCTTATTTATTTTTGAGAGAGAGAGGGACAGAGCTCAAGTGGGAGAAAGGCAGAGAGAGAGGGAGACAGGGTCTGAAGCAGGCTCCAGGCTCTGAGCTGTCATCACAGAGCCTGATGCAGGGATGGAACTCACAAACTGTGAGATCATGGTCTGAGCTGAAGTCGGACGTTTAGCTGACTGAGCCACCTAGGCATCCCTCTGTGATCTTAAAATAATGTGTCATATCTGAAAATATCAAGAAAGTGGGTTTGCTCTATTGTTTCTAATCTGTCCATTAAACTGGCCCCTACCAAATATAAATTTTTAAGAACTTTCAAATGCACTGATTGAGCAAGACCCATTATTCAGTCTCTCATGAAGAAAAATGCAAATCGAGTGTTTATGATCGTTATCAAACTATCTTAAGGGTGTGCCCACTTTTCCCGACGATAATTTTGGAAATTCTGAATAATAACAGCCTCTATCCAGACACACATCCAGTAGTCAGGTGGATGTGGATTGATCTTTATAATCCCAAAGTAATAACTACTACTTTCTGTCTTGGATTGTTGCGAGTCTGAGACACGGAAAGGAAAAAACCATAGTCGGTATTTTGGCTCAGTGTCACAAGTGTTCTCGAGGCCCTTTGTTGAATTATTTCCCTCTACTGTGTAGGCAACATTCACTGTCAGACAGAAAAGATGACGGGTATAGACTGGAGTCTGGGATAAGACACATGGTCTGAACAAACCAGGAGCTGCAGGCTCCAATTATTTTTAATGTGCTGCAAGCGGTATTATTATAACATAAATTGTGCCTAAGAGTTTACAGTGAAAGACCTTTGCTGTATTAATATAGCCTGTCTCATGTTACATCCCACTGATGAAGACAAAGGCCAGAGGATGACAGAACAATGGAAAATGGAAAATGTAAATAGCTCTTCAGTCTTCTCCAGAAAGTGGAAAAGTACAAAGGTTTTGAAAGCTGCTTATTTCTCTAGTTCTGAATAAAAGCTCCTTACTTTTATAGCCCTAAATGATGTGAACTTGAACTCTCAAAGTTACCAAAGAGACTTGAGAAACTCTGAGGAGAACAAAGGGTGAATTATCTTAAAAAATAGATTGAATAGACAATATTTTGAGTTCATGCATCAGGAATTAGTTCTCAAAATAATGGAAGAGAAAAATTCATCAAGGATTAAAATAATCTGCTATTCAGAATTCACAACACATTTTAAAATAATCTGGGGCCCAGAAGTTTTTTAAGTTTGAAGTGATTAATTTGAACAGAGTCTAGACTAACAGTAGTCAAGGAAAGTATTTTCCAGCCAAATACATTTTTTTTTTAACAACTGAAACATACTTAGTATTCTTACCTGTGTCCAAAGTTAAAAATGTGGTGAGGAAAGGCTCGGTCTTTCTTTCTGGAGAGAAAAATGTGGGTACTTACTTGGCAGTATTTGGGAATTCAATTCAGTATTTAGTTTCTGAGGCCTTAGATAACCATGTTTTAATAGCTTCTCACTTTGTAAATAAAGAGACTTGGAAAAATGTAATTTGTGTCTCTGCCTCAGTGAAATTCTACCTATGAGGTTTAATTGAGTATTTACACTTACACTTACTCATTTTTGTTCCTTTAAACTTATATTTCATTTGGTTATTACTCTTGTCCAACAGATGTTCAAATATTCTTGCTAAAATAAAACAAAAAATATATGTATATTATATTTATATATCCAAATGGTGCATCTAAAGCAATTTTTAAACTTATTGCCATGCATATTATTCTCTGAAAGACTGAAAACATCCTTCAGCATTGAGATAGTCTCTCCTTGTGAGCATGTGTGTACCCACCAAGAAAGACTTATGAAAAGTACACGGTATCCGTTCACTGATACAGTAGCTTAAAACTGAAGTGAATTAATATAATCAGCTTTTAGGAAACTTTTTATTTTGAGATAATTATAGAATTATATGCAGTTATAGAAGTAATACAGAGATAAAATAATATATGCAAATACTGCAGAATGTAAAAATAATGCATATGTATGTGTAATGTATAATATATATACCCTTTACCCAGTTACACTCGAAAGTGACATTTTACATAACTGTAGTTCACATCAGTCATTTTTTTATTTTTTTCACATAAGTTATTTTAAAACAAGACTGGTATGTAGAAAATTAAATAATGTATTAGATTGAACAACAGGGCTAATGCATTTTAAAAAAAGTTTTTAATGTTTATATAATTTTGATAGAGAGTGCACATGAGCAAGGGAGGGACAGAGAGAGAGAGACACAGAATCTGAAGTAGGCTCCAGGCTCCGAGCTGTCAGAGCAGAGCCCGATGAGGGATTCGAACTCACAAACTGTGAGATAATGACCTGAGCCAACGTCGGATGCTTAACCCACTGAACCACCCAGACACCCCTGTACTTTTTGTTTTAAATTACAACTCCGTCCCCTTGCAAAGTAAGAAAGATTGCCAAGACTGAAAGAACATGAGCTATGAGAAATGCAACATTCAATGGAAAAGAACATTGGAATGTTTTGGTTAATTTGGCTTTCCATTCAATATTAGACAAAACTCATATTTATTGTTTATTATTTCTGGAATAAATTCAACCAATGTCTATTATACAGTATGATAGTAAAGAGGGCAGCTTTTAAGGCTGAATCCTATACTCATTGTCTGGTTTTAGGCAAATACTTTCCTTTTCCGAGCCTCTATCCTTCTCTGGATATGGGGTGGTAATGGCTCTTATGTGGTTGGCCGAATAGGAGGAGGCAGCCTGTATGGGATGCGCCAGGGGTGTGATAGGCAAGAGCTTCATTGACGGAGTGCCCTTTTTGTGCCATGCAAGAATTCAAAGCATAAGAAGACATGGTTTCTGTCTGCCAGGAAATTTGAGTGATGAGAGAGAGAGAGAGAGAGAGATTAAACAAAGTGAGGACAGTACCAGTAGAAATGCACTTACAGTGTTAGGTGTATAGAAAAAAGGGAAAGATTAATTCAAGCTCAAGAGGGATCGAAATAGTAGTTTTTTAAAAAAACTAAGTTGACTCTTAAAGAAAGTTGGGATCTTCCAACACTTTCCACCTGGAGAGAGAGCTATTGCAAGAATTGAGTATATATTTTCTAAATAGGACACTGAGTCCAACCAACCATTTGATTTCTTTATATTCCTCTCATGGCTTTGCCCTTGAGCTTTGCCATGGCTGCCAAGGGCAAAGCCACCACATTTCCAGCAAGCTGGAAGGCCACGTTCAGTTGGTGCACCCCGATCATCTCATTAGACAGCTGTGCCTTTTCAGAGCCGGGCTGCAAAGATGTACAGTGCGCATGAGTGAGCAGATGGACGCTGAACAAATCAGTACCCACGATTGTGGAATGACTTTATGTGAGTGGGAAAATCCATTTTGTAAATGAACAGAAAGACAAATGTATACATTGGCCTGGTACATGCCCCTGCTTCAGCTTGCTCACCGACATGGAAGAATACATTTTAAGAGAGGATGCGACTGTAACTCTTCGACAATATAAATGAACACACATCAAAGATTTTATTTAACTCATGAATGAAGGAACTGATAAGATATTGCAGATGCCTAAAAGGGAATTATGAAGGCTGAAATGAACTTACAAATGGATGCAAATTAGTAAAACTTGTTAATATCCACAAGGCTGTAATTAGTGACATTCCACTGGACACAATTTACATGTCTATGGACAGGAATTATTTGCACTGCTTGGTGCACAGATTTCTAAGATGCATCCTCCCGCCACTCCCCCTCCCCCAACCCCTGCCCTACCAAGATTATCTTCCCTGGCTTACCTGCCTGTATGATCCTCATCTCCCCTAACCTTTCTTGAGCAAGACCTGTGATAGGATAGTTTCTCCCTTTGCTTAGGTTACGTTATATGGCCAAGGTGCTGGGGTAGTAACTCCTGTGGGTGGCAGCCTAGAGAGAGATCCTTCTTCTGGCTTTGAAGAAGTAATCTGACATGTTGTGAAGGCACGTGGCTAGGACCTGAGGACAGTCTGAGGGCGGCTTGTAGGCACTGAATGATCCCTGGCCGTCAGCCAGCTTCCCCCTCCTACAGCTTCAAGGAGCTGAGGTCTGCTATCAGTATGCATAAACTTGGAGAAGAGCCCTGAGGTCCAGATGAGAACACAATCCTGGTGGCTGACACCTTGATTTTGGCCTTGTGACACCCTGAGCAGAAGACCTATATACATCATGCCTGGACTTGGGCCATACAGAAACTGAGAGCGAATAAATAGAATTTTGTTTATGTCACTAGATTTGTGATAATTTGTTACATAGCAATAGAAAATGAATTCAATTATCATGTTTTCTATAAATTAACTTTTATCTCTACAGAGTTGTAAAAGAGCCAGGTCATAGAAAAAGAGAGAGAAAACCCAGATGGCTGAGCTAGCAGGATTCCCACTAAATTGCAGCCTTTGACAACTGTTTCTTGCTCTGCTTTGAACCAAATTGTCCCTAAAGTTTTACATTTGTGATCATTTTACAATGTGTTGCATTTTTCTTCTTTTCCTTTCATTTTCTTCCCTTCCCTTCCCTTCCCTCCCCTCCCCTCCCCTCCCCTTCTCTCTCTCTCTCTTTCTTTCTTTCTTTCTTTCTTTCTTTCTTTCTTTCTTTCTTTCTTTCTTTCTTTCTGTCTCTCTCTCTCTCTCTCTCTCTCTTTCCTGTTTTAACCTAGTTTTTGGCTCCTCATCACACACAATAGGAACAATCAAAATTAGCTTGATTTTGAGAATGGTCTCCATGAGTATTTCTCCATTCATCTTAAAAATAATACTTTTTTAATTTAATGTTTATTTATTTTGAGAGAGAGAGACAGAGCACTAGCAAGGGTGGGGCAGAGAGAGAGACAGAATCTGAAGCAGGCTCCAGGCTCTGAGCTGTCATCACAGAGCCTGACGTGGCATTTGAACTCATAAGCCATGAGATCATGACCTGACCCGAAGTTGGGCAGTCAACCAACTAAGCCACCCAGGCACCCTTATCCATTCATCTTAAAAGAGGAAATGCAATTTCCTTTTCAGGGTCATGTTAAGCAAGACTTGTAAAATTCTGCAAATGTAGTTAGTGCTGTCCCCCTTTATCTGATTAGACTGAACTATGATGTCATGAAGTTACTCACAGTGTCTTGCTTATTTATGCAGTGATGGAAAGAGTAGTCACTTGTGAGGATTCAGGAGGACAGGCATATCTCAAGGAGCCTCTGAAAGTTGGAAGGATTAGTTAGGTAAGACCCATTGTCTTACTAGGGATGGTGCCTGGAATGAAACAGACTTTAGGTAGAATTTTCAAATGAAGTAGACTGTAGATGAGTCAAAGTATGAAGTGTGGGGCTGGAACAGCACAAGGGAGAGCCCGTAGGCCACTGGGCAAACTGTGAGTATGAGGCAGAGCAGACAGCTCTGAGACAAGAGGAGCAGACAGTCGAGGCACTACTGGGAGATACGAGAGGCAGAGGAGAATGAGATGGGACACATGTGCAACTCCAAACGTCCAAGTGAGGCATTTCCAGATGATTTGTGAGGCACCCAGATCCTGCAAGAGCTGAGAAGATAGTTATGATACGAAAGTGGATTTGTCTGGAAGATGATCCCTATGAAAGCCTTAGACTATTATCGCTCTTCTAAACTTCTGGGCCCCGTGACCTCATTTTAGAGAACAGAAAACTGAATCCCAATCACTCAGGAAGTTAATGGCAAATCTGGAATGTGAATCCAGTTTTGTTTAGTTTCAGTCCAGTGTGATCTCTACTTTCCCACACTGTTTATTTCCAAGAAGAAAGCTAGGTAAGTATATAAGTAAGTAAACAAATGAAGAAGGGAGGGAGGGAGGGAGGGAGGGAGGGAGGAAGGAAGAAAAGTAGCCATAGAAGAGACCAGTAAGAATGGGAGAAGGTTACAATTGTTTGAGATTACTGGGGCATAAATGATTTGCGAAGAAGGAAATATTTGAGGAATAGAAGAAGCCAGATTTGGCAGATTCTTGGATAAAAAACACAAAGGAACCCCTTCCCCCCCAACCCCCAAACCAAATACCAGAAAATGATGTGTTTGGGTGTACTAGCTATCTACTGTGCAGATGAATTACCACAAACATAAGTGGCTTAAAGCAACACACTTGCTATTTTAACATTTCTGTAGGTCAGGAATCTGGGCATGGTTCAGATGGACCCCCTCCTTCAGGATCTTTTATAAGGGTCAACTGAAATGTCAGTCAGGGCTGCAGTCTTATCTTAAGGCTGGACTGGGGAAGAATCCACTTCCAAGCTTATGAGATTGTTGACAGAATTCGGCTTTTTACTGGCTGTTGGCTGATGCCACCTCACCTTGCCACATGGGCCATTAGGTAGAGTAGCTCACAACATGGTTTCTTGCTTCATTGGGCCAAACAAGGGAGAGGGTTTGCTATTAAGATGAAAGTTACAATCTTACGAAATATCATCACTGAAGTGACATCCCATCATTTTGGCGGTAGTCTGTCAGTTAGAAACAAGTCCTAGACCAAGATGGTCTACACTTAAGGGAAGAGGATTAACAAGAATATAAATGGTAGGTGGGGAATCACTGGGAGCTGTTTTAGAGCCAACCAACATACTGGAAACCTGGGGTTCCTCCAAATACACAAGAAACTGTATATGAAGAAGTAGTTAAGGGAAATAAAGTCAAATTGCTTAGCTTGCAAAATAAAGGTACAACACCTAGAACTGTAGATAATTTGGAGAATATTTAAAGACAGCAAAAAATATTGACCATTTGCTGCTCACAAGAAAATATGAAATGATTAATGGAGATCCAACTGAAGAAGAATCTAGGGAGTAGTTAATTTTATTTTAATTAATTAAAATTTTTTAAAATGTGTATTTATATTAGAGAGAGAGAGGGACCAAGGGGTCCCTCGGGAGAGGGGTGGAGAGAAGGAGATAGAATCTGAAGCAGACTATAGGCTCTTAGCTGTCAGCACAGAGCCTGGAGCCTGACTCAGGGCTTGAACTCTTGAGCTGAGCCATGAGATCATGACCTGAGCCAAAATTAAACGTTGGATGCTTAACTGACTGAGCTATCCACACACCCTGGGAGTAGTTAGTTTTAAAATGAACAAAACAAATAAAAATGTGGTCTGTGAAAAGTAAAGACATTTGACATGAATGGGAGTGATATTTATTTAAGTCTCAAACATAGAAGTTAAAGTAAATTTAGGACAGAAACAAAGGGCATTTCATAGCTTTATGACAATACTCTCTGTTAGTCCAGGAGAGTAAGGGATGATAATCATGGGAAGTGAGAATAAACAATTGGATTTCGTCTAACAAATTCAGCTTTTTAAAAAAGTACTGTTTTCCCTTAAGCTTTTCTCAATGTCTCTCAAGCTTGAATTAATCTTTCCCTTTTTTCTATTTAGTATAAATGTGACAGGAAAAGGAGGGAAGGGGAAAAAATGTAACAGAAGCCACAGTGTCCGAAAAGACGGGGAATTCAGCCTCTGCTAAACTTGGTCCCTCCCCTCCCCCCTCCTCCCTCTTCCCTTCCCCCACCCCCCACAAGCCGTCGCCAAGGATGGACGCTCTAAGTTGATTAATAGAAAGGTTTCTTTCAGGAAACTTGCCAAATCGACCCTGGTCCTGGTGCTGGTGTTCGGAGTGCACTACATCGTATTCCTGTGCCTGCCTCACTCCTTCGCCGGCCTGGGCTGGGAGGTCCGCATGCACTGTGAGCTCTTCTTCAATTCCTTTCAGGTAGGTAGGTAGCCCTGGCTCCTGCATTTTGGTAACAACCCAGTCCCCAACCCCCATCCCCCACCCCCACTTGCAACGAACTTTTTTCTCTGCCCCTCTCTGGCTCTAATGCACCTGTCTCCTGAGGGCCACGAAAGGGCATTATTCTCTGGAGCCTGTGCTTTTAACCTCTGCCCACAGCAGGGGCTGCTTCTCGCCAACAAGCCTGGGCAGTGAGACAAGAAAGCATATTCCTGTAAAATAATGGAACACGTGCAGAGCAGGGACTTCTGCATGGGTGTATGGAAAATAAACCAAAGCCAATGAAAAAGAAGGCAGGGAGGAGGCAAAAAAGGGAAAGGGAGACGAAAAAGGAGAGGTATCTGCTACACGTTTTAACTCATTGGAAAATCCAATTACCACCATCCCACCATCGCTCACGTGGCCCACAGCAGACACCTCCCTCCTCCCGGGCCCTCACTCGCTGCACCTCCTGCCCCTTAAATCTAGTCTCCCTGACATCGTCTGGAAGATCTTAAAAATAAATTTGATTGTGTCACTTACCTACCGGAAGTACCCAGAGGTTTCCCATTGCACTCAGAGTAAAATCCAAATGCCATTTGCTGGTGTGCACAGCCCTGTGTGGCAGGGACCCTGACTGACTGTGACTTCACATCACATGGTGCTTCCTGTCACCCACTGAGTTTGAGTCACACTCGTGCTTCCACACTTTCTGTTCCTCAAACTCATTCCCATGTCAGGGGCTTATACTCGCTGTTCCCTTTGTCTGGAAAGCTCTCCCCCCGCCACCCCTAATATTCACAAGGTCTGGCTTCTTCTTGTCTCTCAAACCAGCTTAAACGCCATCTCTTCAAAGCGCTCTTCATTGAGTTGCCCATTCAGTTTACCGTCCCCATTCTTCTCTTTCACACCACTTGTTTTGCCTGCATAGCTTTTATTATCTTAAGTTTTTCCAGCGTGGCTAGGTGTTTATGTTTTACCCATCTGTATTTCCTTCTAGAATGTAAGCTCTAAGGGAACAGGGACCCGGTCTGTCTTGATTGAATTGTTCACCCCTGGCGTGCTGAGCAGTTTGCACTGTAGAGGCTCAATAAATACTTTTGAATGAGTGACACAAAACGTTTCTTTGTCTTCTTACCATATAATAGCCCGTGCCTGTGGTTTCCAGCATTTACAATGTATACATATCTCGTCCCAACCAGGAACTATTCTGTGATCCTTGAGTGACCACATAAATGAAGCTAATAAAATAGGAATCAGTTCTTTGTGACTCTCGGAGTGTTTTACTCAGTTACTTGTTTGGTTCAGCTGACACCGAGGAAAGATCTCAGGCAAATATAATATATACTTAAAGATTTGGAAACATCGGGAGAGAGTAGTTCATATAATTTTCTGAAGGAATCATAGACAACCTAGTTTTTCAATTATGTATTTTGACACAAGCAAGGCACGTCAGTGCTATGATCTTCATGCCTTGTCAGCATGCTAACATTCTCTTTTGTTCCCTAGGGTTTCTTTGTGTCTATCATCTACTGCTACTGCAATGGGGAGGTAGGTTTGAAGAATGCCCCGACACTGCACAGTGTAGCTTCGAGTAAGCTTGTAAATGGCCATCACGGTGTGACCGGCATCTCTTTACAATCCCCAGGAACTATAGGAAAAAATGAGCAGGGAGAAAGGAGATATTTCAATCATAAATTATTTTGAGAAAGCAAGAATGAATGTAAATAAGCTAAAGCCTTCCCGTAGCATTTTTCAATGTTAATTCAGTTGCAAACCCTGATATCAGAAAAACAAACAACAAAACAACAAAACCAAAAACCATGCAACTTGTTGGAATGTAAATCGATGCTTGGAAGGACAATGAATTTCATATTCCAGTTAATACGTAACCTTATATTCAATTTCCAGTTCCATAAGAAACTAAAAAATACGTTTTCTTGGGAAAGCCCATGAGAATATTTTTATATTTTTAAAACCACACATGGTAACAGGACACTTTGAGTTCACTGAGGGGTTGGCTGGAGAGAATTAGCCATACTGTTCTTTTAGGTGACATCAGCTTACCAGGTTTCCACTGCTTTCCATGGAACTTCCAACTAAGCTCTCCTCTGGTAAGTGGCAATAGCAGTAGAACTGAATCTTCAACCACGATCTTGGAGGCAAGAGCCCCACCCTATTAGGAATGTATTTGCAGTGGCTGCTTTCCGTGGTGCCAGCCTCTTTCCCATTTTGGCCTCCTTCAGCACGCCTGTGCAAAGTCATAGTGTTACATTTCAAGTCGAGTACTTCCACGCCGTTCCTCAGACACAGCTGGCATTATTTCTCTTCCCTCCTCTTCCACCCAGAATCCTCTTTTCTCTCTCCCACAAGTCAGATGCTTCTATGGGCTGCATTTCAGCTTCTATTAAAATACTCATCTTGGACAAGTCCCTTTACCTCTCTCGAAGCCAGTAATAACACCTAGAGGTTTTGGGGGGGGTTGAGAGAGAATGTGCACATCACGTCCTTGGCACACAGTGGAAACTCAGCGATTACTGTCCCCGAAGGGCAAACATCCATCTAACGAGGCTTCAGGGCTCCCTGATGGTTTCTGACGGACAGTGTTTCCTGCCACTCAGGTTCAGTCGGAGGTGAAGAAGTTGTGGAGCCGGTGGAACGTTTCCATCGACTGGAAAAGGACGCCCCCATGCGGCGGCCACCGATACGGCTCCGTGCTCACCACCTTGACCCACAGCACCAGCAGCCAGTCGCAGGTGGCGGCCAGCGCTCGCATGGTGCTCATCTCTGGCAAAGCCACCAAGGCAGCCGGCCGCCAGCCCGACAGCCACGTGACGTTACCCGGCTATGTCTGGAGTAACTCGGAGCAGGACTGCCTGCCACACTTGATCCATGAGGAGACCAAGGAAGGTGACGCGAGGCGAGGAGGTGAGATTGCCATGGCGGAGTCTCCCAGGCTGTTGGAATTGAACGCAGACCCTGAAGGAAGCAGAGGAGAAAACGAGGATGTTCTCTGAGTCAACATCTCTGATCCCTCCGGTTGTGTGAGAGAAGCTTGGCTGGCCTTCCTCTGCTCGCGCCCCAGAACTGAAAATTCAGGGTTCATCCCGTTACTTCGCAAAACTGTTCAGGTTGCATGAATTTGATCCTATACGTACAAAAGACACAAAAGAGGAAGTGTCAGTGGAGTAGTTTATTGTTTTATTTTGGCATCAGGTTCTCTTCCAAGTTGTGTGATGCTTGCTCTGTGATTGTTCATTTTTCTGCTACTTTTGGGTAGAAAATGTTTCACTTCCTTGGCGCTGGTTTTCTGTCGCAAATATCACCCTACTTATCATAGAGATCATTCGGTCTGTGTCGTTTCCCTTTTAAGAAATTAGCATTCTGTTTTTCTCTTTCTCCTTTTAAGGTACTTCTACCATTGCATTTCTTTTGTGGATGCATGGGAGTAATTAGGGTCTGAAAATGTACGTTTCAAGATGAGCTAAGAACATGCAGACACTGGAAAGTAAGGGGCTTGGCTCTGATAAGATAATACATTTGCGACAGATTTGTTTCTTTCTAGGAACAAGGAGAATTACTGAAAAAAAGTGTTGTGCATCTTCCTTCTTTTGAATGTCTCCTCTGTGACCAGCCAAATCTCAGGTCTTCACTCCTCTGTAAACCTTGACATGTTACACGGTTTTTCTCCGTGGGTTTGTGCCCACAGACTGATCGTATTTGTAGTCATTTGTATCGCTGGTAAGGCACACTGCATCCGTGCCTTTTTGTTCTTTGTTCTATTGCTGTATTCCAAATGGCATGTGGGATAAATTAAAAGTGTGTTTTAAAAATCCATTTTGGGTCCCTTTTAAAATTTTTCCCTCAGCCTCTAACTTTGTTTTTGAGAACCAACCCAACATTCTTTCTTCAAATCTACGGAGATCAGCATGTAACTCCAGCACTTTCCTGAACTTGAAACTTCAGTATGTTGCAGCAGTGAGACATTTACTGAGTGTATGTTCGGTACCTGACATCCCACTGGTTTTTATTTACCAGAATTAACTTATTTAATCCTCACTACAAACTCAGGGTTAAGTTGTATCACTGTCACCGTTTTTACAGAGGGCAATGGACTCACCGAGGTGGAGTAACTTGCCCAAAAGTCGCACAGCTAGTCATGACAGAATGTGGTTTCAGATACAGATCTACAGACTTCAAGTCCCCTGTTCATACCATTATGCTCTGCTGTCACCAATATACATGTTGCCCATCAATCAATCAAAACATTCGATTAATTTCTTCTGGCTAGAGAGTGCTTAAGAACTCTTATTATGTTTTAGCCCCTGACCTTCATGAAGATTCCACCGTAGTGGGGGAGACAAATATATGTGGGAAATGAAATATTACAGAGCAATGATGTGTTTCTAAGTGAAACACTGCAGGTCAAGCTGATGTGTCTCATTTTGCTGAATGATTGAACCAACGTGCCACCAGTGTCATGATGAATAAGGTAGGTGAGGCCCGCACACCTTCTTCAAAAATATTATACTTACCCGCTATGGTCATTCTTGCCTTCCTCTTCTGTGCCACACAGAGGTGATTTCCTTCTCATCCTGTTGCAGATTCGATTTATCTGCTTCTACGCTTTAATGTCACACACCATGCTCTCTCCTTGTCGGCAGAGAACCGTCACGGACTGAGAGATTCAGTTCTATAGCTAGTTTCCTGCAAGTCTTCATAAAGTCACTTAACTTCATCTGTAGGTTTTCTATCTTTAAAATGAAGATGAGGGCCCTGGGTGGCTCAGTCGATTAAGCGTCAGACTCTTCTTTTCAGCTCAGGTCCTGATCTCTGGTTCATAAGATGGAGCCCTATGTTGGGCTCTGGGCTGACAGCATGGAGCCTGCTTAGGATTCTCTCTCTCTCTCTCTCTCTCTCTCTCTCTCTCTGCCCCTCCCCTGCCTGTGTGCTCTCTCTCTCAAAAGTAATAAACTTAAAAAAATGAACTCTTTAAAAAATAAAATGAAGAGAAAAGTTCTGATAAGAAAAATCATATATTGAAAGCACTTTATAACATACAAATATCATACAAATACTTGCTTTAGGTTGTTATATTATAATTTCAAGTTAAAATCTGGCTTTGCCCCATTATAAAAGACCTCCTTGGTCGGTGCAACATAGTAACTTTTAGAATATATAGATTTTGATAATATGGAAAATATTAAGAGTTCTTACTTTCTAAGCCAGCCCCACATTCTAAAGTTATGTCACTTGGGGTGCCTGGGGGTCTCAGTCGGTTAAGTATCTGACTTCGGCTCAAGTCATGATCTCACGGTTCACAAGTTCAAGCCCTGCATCAGGCTCTGTGCTGACAGCTCAGAGCCTGGAGCCTACTTCGGATTCTGCGTCTCCCTCTCTGTCTCTCTCTGCCCCCCACCGCACCAACCCCCGCTTGCACTCTGTCTCTCTCTCTCTCTCAAAATTAAATAAACATTAAAAAATTCTAAAGCTACGTCCCTACTTCTTTATGTTAACAAGTGTGAGTATAATCCTGAGAGTAACTGAAGTTTTATTTTTTAAATTTTTTAATTTAAAAAAAATGTTTACTTATTTATTTTTGAGAGAGAGAGTGCACAAGCAGGGCAGGGACAGAGAGAGAGAGGGAGACACAGAATCCAAAGAAGGCTCCAGGCTCCAAGCTGTCAGCACAGAGCCCAATGAGGGGCTCCAACTCATGAACTGTGAGATCATGGCCTGAGCCAAAGTTGAACACTTAACCGACTGAGCCACCCCGGTACCCCATCAATGTTTTCTTTAGAGTTCAGTTACTCATAAATTAGGCAAAAATTTACTTTAAGCCTATTATGTAACAGATAGTATTCTACGTGCTGGGGCCATGACAAAACATAAGGCACAATGTATTCCCTGAAAGGAACAAAGAACCCCTTAAGTGCATGCTAAGGCTCTTTACCTCATCTGTGTACACACATTTTTCTTCTAGGTTTTGATGTTTGCGTCCACTTAGACAATAAGTTATACCACTCTTGATTTTAGCAATTAAACTATCAGGTAGTTACTAAGGATTGGCTGATCTATATTCAGAGGCACAAACTACTGGCCGATTAGCTAAATCGGGCCCATGGGTGTGTTTCATTGCTCCGTCAAGGGGTTGCGGTATACTATTAGGTTGCCAACCTTGAAAATATGAATTCTTCCACATAAAATTATATTTGCTGGATTATGAAAATATCAGACAATCATATAAGCCAACACTCAGCTGCTAGAGCTGGGCAGTGGCTGGCCTCTACAGACAGGACAGCGACGGAGCAAGTACACAGAGTGCCCACCTGCTTTCATCCATTATTTCTGTGACCTGCCTGGGCTCCAGACCCCTTTCCGCTACGTCTCCTGATCTAGGCAGTGCACTTACATAACACTTTAACAGTAGTTTTCTGAAGTGTTCTTGGGGGAGCGCTTGGGTGGCTCAGGTGGTTAAGCGTCCGATGTCAGCTCAGGTCATGATCTCGCTCTTTGTGAGTTCGAGCCCCACATCTGGGTCTGTGCTGACCGCTCAGAGGCTGGAGCCTGCTTCGGATTCTGTGTCGTCTCCCTCTCTGTCTGCCGTTCCCTGTTCACACTCTGTCTTTCTCCCTCTCAGAAATAAATAAACATAAATTTTTTAAAAATGTTCTTGGGGAGTGACATTCTATATAATTTTAATTTTTTAAATAAAGTTAAACAACCAAGTTTGTTTTTATTTGTTTGTTTTGCAACCAAGTATTTTTATGTGTGGTGGTATTTAGGCTTGAAACCACAATTATCGTGTTTAGATGAGTCTATTAAAAGAAAAATTCATCCCACAGTTTCTGTGCTTTCATATCCCAACCACACGATTCATAGCTTCACTTTCTAAGTCATCTCTCTGACCTGTTGCTAATGTAACAGATATTTTTCTCTTTGGAAATAACAGCAAGTTCTAAATGCAAAATGGACTAAACCGTATAGTAGGTTACCGAGGCGGCTTGTTCACATGGAGATTATATTTTGATACCCTGTTTTCCCTGTAGCCAAAGGAAGCCTGAGAGCAGAGATAACAAAATTCCACTGCCTAGCGTAAACAGGAATGATTCTGGTCACATAACTCTTACTGTCATAGCATTGTCTCTTTCTGCTCTTGTTAAATAGAATGGAAACACCTTTTCTAAGGTTGCTGAAAAGGGCCACTGTTTTTAAGTTGTAGGAAGAAAATGCATAAGGTATGTCTGAGTCGGAGTCTATTATTTACAGTTAGAGATTAATAGTATATAATTCGGAGGTGATTTTCCTTGGAAATTATGGCAGACAGAATAGCACCTATCCCCCCTCCCCAAAGATATTTGCCCACTAATTCCCAGAATCTGTGACTGTGTGGGATTACTTGGCAAAGAGGGATTAGGTTGTATAAGGATTGCTAATCAGTTGACCTTAAAATAAATGGAATTACCTGGGTGGGCCCTGCATAGTCACAAAGGTCCTTAAAAATGGAAGAGGGAGGCAGAAGAGAATGTCAGAGTGATATAATGTAAGAAGGACTGCCTCTCGTTGCCGGCTTTGAAGAGGGCAGAAGGGGCCATAGGCAATCTCTAGAAAGTGGACAAGGCAAAGACCTGAATCCCCCCCCAGAACCTGCAGAAGGAATGCAGCCCTACTGACACCTTGATTTTAGCCCAGTGAGACCCTTGCTGGACTTCTATCCTGTAGAACTGTAAAATAATCCATTCGTGTTGTTTTAAGCCACTAAGTTTGTGGTAATATGGCACCGATAGAAACCTGTTGCAGAGATTTATATAGATGACCTGCATGGAAAGAATTATAATGGTTGATTAGAATTATGTTGAATAATTGCTGCTTGTCTGCTTGCTTCATGATGATTACTTATTTTGGTAGCGTTTATGGTGTTTTATGTGCTGCCTTTACAGGGAGGAAAGTTGTCTATTTGCCATTTAACTATAACTCACTTTTTTTTTTTTTTTTACCAGTGATTGTTTTGTTTTAGAAAGGTACTTTTTTTTTTATCAGCATTCTCATCTTCTGTAAAGAGTTACCAAGTATCTTGTTTTATGAGTTGTATTTCATTCATTGTCTGTCTTTGGACTTGCTCTGCATATGTCTTCCACCCTCAGCCCCTCTCCATGAGACACACAGGGACTCAGTTGCTCAGTAAAGCTCTCACGAGCAAGGTTAGGGAAGTTCAAGGCTGAAAAGTTGGCCCACCCTGTGGGTAGTTTGGGAATAACATAGGAACTGAGCTGAGCTCAGCCTTTTCCGTATTTTTTATCATATAATCCTCATAACACACTGTGAAGCTATCACCATTTCAAAAATGTAGAGAAGTTAGATGATTTGCTTCAGGTCAAGGGGGTTGAATCTGGATTTGAACCCTGTTCCGTTTGACTCCAAGTTTGATTCTTTTTTCATGCATATGGACCTTTTTACTTTCTTTATCAAGAAACTAATAGTATGCCAAGTAATCAACGAATAAATAAAATAAGGATTCATTTTAACTATTGTGGTAGCAAATTACTAATAGTTACGGAAATGTGAAAAACAATAACATGATTATAGTTTTGGGTAAGTGCATTTTAATTTCCCAGGATTTTATGACTATCAGAATAAAAAATAGCTTTTTAATCTCAACTCTTCTTTTAATTCTAGCCAGGATCTCTAAGTAGAGACAGAGATCTCAATCCTGTTCTTAAACTGCCTCATGAGACCATGGAAAATTTGCCCACATATTGTTACAAAGATGACTTTGAACAATTTATCTCCAGATTACTCATC